ACTGATAGAAAGGCAGCAAAGGAATAATTTTGAAACATTTAAAACTCTAAAATGTAAAAAAATTTTATTTGTGATTAAGGCGTCGGTTTCAAATAAAAACTAACGAAATGTCTGTTTACAAAAAAGAAAGCGAAAGGTTGAGTAGGAGTCTACTCATACCATAATTAAAGGCTTGAACAAATAAATTAAAATCAGCGAAAAATATTTAATGAGAAGGAGCCACTTAAAGAAAACTCTTGTTCTCTTTCATAAACTTTCTCTAAAATAAATAACGTTATGCCAAAATGTTTATAGAATTAAATTTAAAAGTGTCAAATGAGTATAGGCTTAAAAATATCTACAAGAGGAAAGCCAAATTTTTTTGTCAAGCCTTAAATCTTGCCAAAATTTAAATTTATTTTTAGGAATTTCGGACTTAAGAATTAGAAAACCAGAATTAACAATCAATAAAATGAGAATTTACCTTTTTCCCTATTTTCTAAACCCCCTCAAAAAACAATTTTCCTAAATGTCAAATCGACAGAATGCCTTCCACAAATAAATTTGTCAAAGTGTGATGGAGTCAATAGTGTAATTACTTCCATTTTGTATTTTAATCTATTTCTTCAATGTGTCATTTGACCTCCTGGGTCTTAACTTTTCAAATTTTTAACTCCAAAAATAAGCTTGATTCCCTTCGATTTTCAATTCTTGTAAGGCCGTATCTCGGGCCATGACTGAGATCAGGGGCGGGCGCAAAAGACAATTGGGAAAAACGCGTCTTGACACTTCTGATTTTTTAGATTTAACAATGCCTAATAATTAAATCGAACAAAATTTTCTTTTTAATTTAAGGCTTTCATGATACAAATAAATTTTAAATTTAATCAAGTAAAATTCTCCATTTGGCAGGTTGTTCACATTCTATCCCTTCTTTTTCCTTTTCTCCACAAAATCTATTAAATGTTGTTTCTGATGAATGTCCCAAAATTTCTCTATCTTCGTGTATTCTAAACGAAAAAGTTGAATGATGTGTTCCTATGAAATATTTGGAATGTGCACAAATCCACTAAAGAAATTTTGAAAGAAAATTTAAAATATTCCAAAAATACTTGGTCAATAATAGAAACTTCTGCAGGTGATAATTCTTGAGAAATAAAGCGATCAACAATTAATCCACTTTTGTTTAGAATAGAAGTAATATTGTTAACCTCTTCATTATTACCATCAGTACAGATAAAAATATTTTTGAGACCAAGTTTATTTGATAAATCTTTTAACTAAAATTTTTAAGAGAAAAAATCATTGGAAATTATTGAACTAGGTTAGCATTTTTGACTGGGCATCAGGGTTCGGACCAGGCTGTGCGCAACGTGCGGAACGCCAAACGCCCATTTAGAAAATTTTAAAAACACGACAAATGCAAAACGATAAAAATCGTCCGAAAATGGACGCGAACCGCCATGACGCTCAGCCCTGGTTCGGACGAGTACAGAAAAATATCGGGCCGAGTTTGAGGTTAAAATAAAGCTTGGGCAGGTAACCCGTCATTCCCCCCATTAACATACCGTATTTCCTCTAAAATAAGCTTATTTTGGAGGGGGCCTATTTTAAAGGAAATATGGTAAAAGCTTTGTTTTTAATTTTCCAATTTTTTTTTACCTTATCCGCCGCCCCACTCAAAGAAGGAATAATTTCTTGATGTGCCCAAACAAAATCCCCCCGCCTTAAATGTGCACAAATAAATTCACTCCCCAAAGGAAACTTTTCTTTTCTAAATTTATCTCCAATTTCTTTTAATTTTTTTGAATAATTCATTGACATTCTTGCTTTCCAATAATTAACTTAAAAACAAAAAATTTTATTAAATGAACAAAATGCCAAAAAAACCATCTCCAAAATTATCATGTAAAATTGTTTCAGTTCTGTCAACGAGAATTGTTTGTCTTTAGAAAAAGAAGGAATTTTTTGAAAGTAAACAAAAACAATTACTTTTTATTCATTAATTCAATTATTGCATCAACTAAGGTACTCGATTGGCCTTGTATTGAAAGACATTTTAATTCATTAAAAGTTAATATTTGGCCAGAGAAATTGCCTAACCTAGAAAATTTTTATGAAAAAAATTATTTTGGAGGTGACCCTAAAATTGAGGGCTCCCCAATAAATTGTCTAAACCTTTAAGATTAGGCGCACACAGAAACCCCAAGATTTCTTAAAATTCCAAAGTTTGCCCGAACAATAAAAACTCCCCATTTCCAACTTCAAAAAAGGAAGGGGAATACTCACCATTTTGCCCCACTTTTTCTGTAATATTTATTTGCATCAATACAAGGACGAATATCATATTTAATTTCAAAACCTTTACTTTCTGACCACCCTTCTTGGTAATGTTGAAGATAAAAAATAGAGTCAATAATTAATTCTGAATTTTTTTTCTTTTTAATAAATTCATTAAATTCCATAACTTGAACAAATTTATTTAAACTTTCAATGTCAAATAATTCTTTCCAAAAAATTTTTAATTTTGGATTGTGCCAATGCCAAATACCTTGCCATGGAGGTAAAACGAGTGTAAAAAGATGACCTTAAATAATACAAAATATAGTCTCAGACCTCTCTGTTTGAGAAATGTCCACCAAACTTTGGTTAGCATTTGAATGGGGGAGTTATTTAAACGATACGCTAAATTTAAGGTACTCTTTAATTATTAGATAATTTTTGGACTGTTTAGTAAGATTGGCGGATAGTTGGACGAATAGTCCGGATCCGATATCCGAACCGAAAATTTCCGGATATCCGGCCTTTTTTCGGATCCGGATCCACCAACCTTACTGTCTAAGTGTAAAAAGTTGCCTTTTTTAGGAATAATATTTTAGGAAAATTACTCAAAGTTGAATCAAAAAAGAAAATTTCAAAAGCTCCATCCCCTCACCTTTCTCTCTAAGTTGTCTAACAACATTAGCCACCCTCATATAAACATCCCTTCTTAAATTGAAGCCTTCTCCACGATTCTTTTAAAAATTTCTTTTAAAAATACAAAATGCCAAAAAGACCTACAACAGAATAAAGTAAAAAACGTTCATTAACAATACATTGTTGTTCTTTTGATTTAATAAAATTAGTAAATTTTGTTTGATAACATTTTTGAGAATAATTTAATTGACAAAATAATAAAAAATAAATAAAAATAAAAATTAAATTGTTCATTCAATTAAATACAAAAATTGAAACAAAGAAACCCTCTAAAAATGCTTGGTAGTAGTTAAATTCCACAAAAGTTAAATTCCAAATCTTTTAAAAATTAATTAAACATTTAAATAAATTGACTCTCTTTATCATGTTTTCAAAAAGTAAAAATAATTCTAGAAAATTAAAAGAGAAATGTCTTCAAGAATTTAATTTAGAAATATTTTTACAATGAGAGTCAAATTAAGCTTTTTTAAAAAAATATAAACTAAATATGTATAGTCAAATTTATTTTCAAAAATTTTAGAGAATTTATAGAGGTTTTATTAAAGCTTTATCGACTAGAAAATTAATTGAGTTATATGTAATTAAAATGTATTTTTGACCAAAAAATACTATAAAAATGTCCTTCATCGAGCATAACACTTAAGGAACGAGTAGAGGAGACGTCACACGTGCTCCGTTCAAAATAAAAACTAGTGTTGTTGGCGACCGGTTTTGTTTTCCCTGTGGCGGGTGAAAGAGAGAAGAATAAGGGGTTTTGGGCCGCCACAGGGAAAACAAAACCGGTCGCCAACAACACTAATAAAAACTTTTCAGTCTTTTTTGGTCAGATTATTTCTTTGGTAAACAAAAATGCAAATCAAAAATTGAATCAAAAAAAATCAAAAATCACAATATTAAAATGACTAAAATTTTTAGAAATAAAGGAATAGAAAAATATTTTTAAAAAACAAATAATAGAAAAAATCACATTCAAAAATATAGTAAATTTAAAGTTAATCGAGTGTAAAGTAAAAAATTAAAGTCTCAAAATTTTGGATATGCACTATCTCTTAAAATTAATTTTATAAAATGTTTGGGGGAATTTTTGTTTCAAAATTATTTTTAAAATTTATTTTACTCTAAATGACTCTCAAAAAATGTTTCAGAATTAATTCAGAATTAGTCTCTAAATGTATTTTCCAAAAATATTCTTCCCTTACATTTATTGATACTAGGATTAGGGTTTTCGAGTCAAGCCGACGTTCGAGTCATTTCTCTCGGGTCGGCCCGACCGAGCCAAAATTCGATGCCCGACAGATCTTTCGGATCGGACTCCAACCCTAATTATTAATACATAAAAGTGCAAATCCAAAAATCAATTTTTAAAGCCAAGTAAAATTTAAAAAATATCACCGAGGTGATTGACGACCAGAAACAACATGTACAATCATTGGTGGAGGAGAACTTCCTTCAATAATATTAGAAGCTCTAGAAGATGATTTTTGTAAAATATTTGGGCATTCAGTTGAAGAAGTTGAGGATGTCATAATTAAAGTATTTTGTTGTTCTTGAATAATTGCTTCTAACCATTTATTTAATTCTTCATTTGAATAAACAGCAAAATGTAATTTTAATCCTTTGTTTTTATTTTTTAGTAGGAAAATGCTAAAAATAAAAGAAAAAATAAAAATTTAGAATTTATTTTACGGAAAGTTATGTCTTCTTTTCCTACTTTTCCAAGGAGGAGAGTGGGCCCAGGATGCCTTTAAACAAGAATCGAAAACTGGGAGAAAAAGAATGTTTAAGGTTGTAAAAGATAAGCTTATTGTTAGGATAAAAAGTTAAAACAGAAGTTGGTTCAATCGTGTCAAGTAAATTCACGATTGTTAACCTGTTCAGGGATAGTGAACCACGCTACTATTAATATAAAAAAGGCCTACACACTACCCTACGTTTCGCTTTAGCCCTATAATACCTCCGGGAACAAAACTAGAATATTTTGGACATAACATCCTGGGTTAACAAACATCCACAACCACTATACTTAGGAGACATTCTATCTTACACTATATATTCAAATCCAGCTTCCCCCCCCCCCCATATCCAATCCAACATTGATTTATTGTTATTTCGAAATTAATTTTAAATGTTTTCCGGAAAATACTAAAGTATTTATTTAACTGTTTTTTAGAAGTTTGAATTTCAGGTTTAGTTGTAATTGTACTCAAAGATAAATCAATTAAAAGTTCTGCTTCAGTTGACTTAAAATTTAAATTAATTTCCAAAATAATTTATTATTTTTTACCATTTGATTTGAATAAATTTGAAATATCCCTCCTTTAATTAACCCCCAACATTTTGCCCAACGTTTTCGTCTAAACGAAGCTCTAAAAATTTGTCTTTTATATTCTGATTGGAATAATTCTCGCAAAATTAATCCCTCAATAATTGGGGTTTTTGATGATATATTTTGTGTTGATTGGCAATTATTTATTGCCTAAATAAATAAAATTAATCTTTTTTAACAAAAAATTTCAATTCAAACATTTTCCGATGAAGATATTGGCACATAAGTTAATAATAAATCACCAACTTCATCTGGTTCAGCCAAAGGCTAAAATGAAAAAAATGTTGACTTTAGTAATGGAAGGATCTGGTTTAATAAGCAGGGTTGCCGGCCCGGTCTGGTCCGAAAGATCGAGTCAGGCATCGAATTTTGGCCCGAAAAATCGGTCGGGCCGGCCGAAAAAATAAGGCCCGAAAAAAAACGACTCGAACGTCGACACGACTCGAAAACGGCAACCCTATTAACAAGAGATCAACTAAAAACAGAGAAATTTGACAATAAAGTGAGATTGTAGTACAAGTGGCGTTGGAATAAAAAAACTGACATTACTGCAAGATTGTCATTAAAGTTAGGTCCCCGATTTATTTTAAAGTTTTCATAAAAATATATCAAAAAAACTCACAGCCAATCTATTTCTACTCGAACTTGCTGTTTTAACAATAGTAGAAGTATAGGAAGGCGAATCAACAGAACATAAACTACTTGAACTTCCCTCCCCCAATTTTGTTGAAGTACTCGAAGAAAAGGGTAATTCTAGTGAATATTTAGAATTTGGAGTTATTGGGGTTTTACATTCAGGATTTGTTGTTTGTTTGGGTAAAAATGTTGTTGAAGTTTTTATTGTTAAATCTTGGGAAGAATTTTGTATATTTATACTTGATGGACTAGGTGATGGAGTTGTTGAGAATTCTCCATAAAAGAAACGAGCAATTTTGGCGTGGATATTGCTTTATAAAATTAAATTTAGAAACGTTTCTGAATCCCCCTGTTCCTAATTAGCGGAAATGTGCCCTTTTCGAGTTGCAAAAAAATCTTTTTCAAAAAACGCCTCAAAGTCTTCCGCGACTTACAAAAAATAATATATTTAATCCTTTAAGTACCTAATAAAAAATATAAAATGTGTGGAAACTAATGTTGGCGGATCCGGATCCGAAAAAAGGCAGGATATCTGAAAATCTTCGGTTCGGATCCGGATATCCGAAGATTTCCAACTATCCGCCAACCTTAGTGGAAGAACAACAAATTTTATAGTCAGTTATAGAGTCCCTGGCATTCCAATAAATATAAGAAAAGTTTTTGTTAAAATTTTGAAAGGGAGGTTAATAATAAAATTTATTTATTTTTAAAAACACCTCAAAGGAGATTCACTAATAACAGGTAACGGATTAACTGCATTTTCAGAAAAAGGAATTCTTTGTTGTGTTGATATTCCAGTAATTTCTTTTATTGGGGCATTCCATTCAGGTTCAACTATAACAGAAAGTGAAGTTCCAATTTTGAGTAATTCATTTTCTTGAACTATTTCAACACTTGAAAAGACGATACCTTTAAATTTAAAAATATTCTTTTTTTAAAAGTAAAAACAAAAGTTGGAGACATTTAAGTTCATGAAACGGACAATAATTTTAATTTTGGATATTCTCTTACAAAATAAAAAAATTTGCGACCTATGTTGGTATAACGGAAAAAATTCAAGAGAAGGCGGTTCTACTTGACTTTATGAGTCCAATCGAACTTTATGAGTCCAATCAAGATTTATGAGTCCAAACAAAACTTTATGAGTCCAATCAAACTTTATGAGTCCAAACAAACTTTATGAGTCCATAGGAATTTTATGAGTCCAATCACATTTTATTAGATTTTATTAAATAATACATTCATTAAATAATACATTAAAAATGAAAGGATTATGTTGTTAGACCTATGGAGCATAGGCAAGGCGCTTGTGCAAAACCCCGCGCTTCGCGCGGGGTTTTGCGGCACGCGCCTTGCGGGAGTCAACGGTCGCTGGGTTCTGGGTCGGCAACATAAACCTATCCCTTTTATCATCACCAGCCTTGATCTGACGACCTATCCTCATAGCTCACAAAAATCTGATTGGACTCATGAGCTGTGATTGGAATCATAAACTGTAGTAAATCCACAATTTTTGCTTAGAATAATAAGGCATGTCGGATTTATAAAATTAGTTTGGACTCATAAACTTTTGTTTGGACTCATAAATTTTGATTGGACTCATAAAGTTTTGTTTGGACTCATAAAGTTCGATTGGACTCATAAAGTCAAGTAGAACCGAGAAGGCTACATAAATTAAATAGAACCCCCAAATACCAGTGCAAAGTCAATATACCACAAAATATCAAAGATGAATTTTACCTCAGATTTTAATTTTTACACCTAATGTTAGGCCGTAAAATTTATGTTAATTTATGGATCACTATTTTTTATGACCATTAGTTAAATTTAAATTTTCTAACCATTTTGTCCATCCTCAATTTCTCCTTTATCCACCACAACAGAAACTTCGCCAGGTTCGAGAATCCCCTTCAATGGTGGAGGCCTTTTTTGAATTCGATCGGGTCTAGTTGTTGTTGCCAAACGATTATTTTCTGTGCCCCAAGAAGCTAGTAAAAGTAGCCATGAATTTGAATCCTTAAAATTTTTTTTTTAATTCGTTATTTCTTCTAAAAATGTTTCGAGACATTTTTGGGGGTAATAGAGTACTCGTCAAGACACAATAATCAATTTTCAAATAGTCTGCTAATTTCCCAGTTATTATCATATGTAATTCACCTATAATGTAATTCCCCTCATGCTCGTAGCCAGGGGGTAGGGTGGATTAAGGGGGCAGGATATTTAATCCCAAAATTAATTTTCCTAAAAAACCTTAAAAGGAGAATGTAAAGTGCCAGGCGGGCTTTCATTCCACACAGAAGCTCTTCGAAATAATTGTTGTTTCCCAGTTGGAATTAAAAGTGAAATACATCTACTTGCTTGAGGTAATGAACAATCACTGCATCTTCGACTATTTGAATTTACATTTGCTGTAAAACTTGAAGAACGAACACGTCGAAGGGCTAAATGGTTGGAGGAATTGTTGTTTTCTTGTTTTTTTAATTCGTTTGAAATTTCTTTTTGATTTCGATGCCATCTCATAGAAAAATCTGTTCCAATCTAATAAAAAATTTGAAAAAAATTAATTGAGAGGAAAGGGATAAAAAATTATCTTTCATCAAATTAAAAAATATTAACCATGAATAATGAGTCAGCAGAAAAGCTAAAAGTAAGCAGAAAAATAAGAGAAAACGCCGTAAGAATAATATTCCAAAAATGATCAATGGGGAATGGAAGGAATTAAAAAAACTCTAAATCTTTTTATTGAAACAAGATAACCCGTCTTTCGCATTAAAAACCATTTCCATTTATTTCTGCTTATTTACCAATAGAAAAATAATTTTGGTTTTGTCGGAAGTAAATATTGTATATTCAAATTTAGATAACTTTTAAAAAACAATTTAAAAATTCCAAACCTTATTTTTAAAATCCAAAGCCAATTTAGTCAATCTCTTCGCCTCTTGATCCCCTCCCAAATTCCCACAATCCTGTATTTTAGGAAATCTTTGAGGAGAGCAACTTTCTCTCGGTCTTTTACACAAAAGTAGCTGAGTTTCAACATTTTCTAAATTCGAGAATTGTGCCTGTCCGGGCCTCAAAAATTGTTGTTTTTCGTTTAAACGGCGTAAAAGTGTTGTCCTTTTCCATCCAATAACTGATTGGCCGTTAATCTTTTTTTGAAAAAATTAAAAAAAAAATTTTTTTAAAGAAAAAAAACCTCCAAAATTTCATCCCCAACATCAAATTTATCTGGAAATGCAGACGGGGAATTGTAATCAACTCGAGTTATTAAATTTATGCCTAAACAGGTTCTTCCAATCTCAAAACCCTTAAATTAAATTTTCTAAAAATTAATTTCAAAAAAACAATACCCAATCAGCAGAAGCAGGTCTTCTAATAGTTATTCTATCGAGAAATGCAGTATATAAAATACTTGGATCGGGCAAATGAATTATTTCGTTACAAACTTGTTGAATCATTTTTGCTCTCTAAAATATTAGAAAAAACTAGAATTTTAATATAGAACAAGGAGAAGGAGTCTTAAAGTTTTTTTGTTTTAGGAACATTTCTTATCGTTAGAGAATTTTAAAAAAATCAAAGGATGCACTAAAATAAAATGTGTTGACGAGTTAATTGGTAAAAAACATTCCACTTAGCAAATTGTCCGGGTCAACATCGAAAACTAAAATCCGATTAAGGCTTAAGCGTTTAACTTCGTCTGAGGAAATATTAAAAGAATATTTTGCATCCACTCGAGAATAGGGTTGTCGATTGTCTGGACCGAATCGAAGAACCGATGATTTTTCGGTTCGGTTCCGGATATCCGAAGAATTTCCAGGAACCGACAGCCTACTCGAGAATAATTAATTTGCTAGACATAAAAATGTTTTTTTTGCTAAATATCCTAACAAAACTCTTATAAATCCCGAGTTTAACAAACCTCAATCAACAATTGCGGAACAGAAAAGAATTTTGGATTGTTTGGATTATTAACACAATCAACCATTTCATCAACATATGTCGCCAAATTATTTCTCATTTTTGCATATTTTTTATTTCCAACAAAAGGATTTCTTTTTTTTAAATTTATTTTTTAAAATTTTTAAATAAACAAATTCAAACCTTTCCAACCAAAATATTAGCCTTATAGTATTTTCATATGTGCTAGCCAATGCACCCAAAACATTATTTAATACTTCTATGTGCATTGAAGCATTTGAAGAATTATTGATTATTGGAGTGGCTGTGGAGACTGCTTCGAGTATTTCGTTTGTACAAACCCTTCAGAAAAAATAAAAGATAAAATTTTTTGATCAAAAACAAGTAAATTTCCGAGATTGGGACAGAAAAATTTTTGAAAAGAAAAATTCAAGTTTTTAAACTCCTTTTTGCTCGATATATGTGATTCTGGCTAAATTATTTTAAAAAATTCATTTGGATTTAAAAAGATCCCTTTAATAAATTTGTAGGACTGTGATAAAACAAAAAATAATAAAGGAGCCGTAGCAAAATCGAAAAATAAATACTTAGGAAATTTGTAATACTGAACCGGACAGACAAACAAAGAAAAAGAAGTAAAATTATAGGGAATAAAATTGGGGAGGAAAAAAGGGGGTCTGTCCGGTTCAATATTACCGGAAATTTAAAAAGGGCAAACTAAACGGATCAAAAAATTTAAAAAAACCTCGTCTTCAAAGCCAATTTTTGTAAATTTTCATATTTAATTGAATAACTCTAAAATATATTTTTAAAAAATATAACAAAAAATTTCCTTACATAATACAAAAGTAAATTAATTGCAGAAATTATTTTTGCACGCGAAGCTTCTCTATTTACACCAATTCTCTTCAAAGTATCATTATCAACATTTAACAATTTACTTCCAGTAATATTGTGTGTAACAAAATGTCTGATATAGGGAGCCATTCCATCATCTACGCCTTTTTAAAAATTAAAAAAATTTTTGCGGATAAAATTTGCGGACAAAAAATAGGGGAAAATTGTCCGCAAAAGTTGTCCGCAAATTTAAAAAAATGATTTTTAATAAGCTCAGTTATAAAAATATATTTCTTTAAATTTTTACCATTTAACCATTCGGCAACTTGTTGAGCTGTCCAATTATCACATTGAAAAATAGCTGGTAAATTTGAGTTGTGGAAAGTAAACGAATAAATTTTTGTCATTTTTTCATTGTTTTTAATTAAACATAAATATACACATACACATTTTTCTAAATAAAAATTAAAACAAAAAGAAAGTAGAATTCAAGCAAAAAACTAGTTACCGGTAAAATCGATTTTCCCAGACCCGGATTTGCAACAACATGCCGGACCGGATTTCTTTGGGTTAATCCGGTCCGGTTTTAATCCGACTATTGCGAAAAACCCAGGATTTGGAACCCGGACTCAGGAAAAATCCGGCCGGATCCGGTCACCAAAAAAATTATATATCCCAAAGCTAATTTTAAAATCAGTTTGACGCTAGCCCATTTCATCACTAATTCTTTAATCGTCTACAGTATTTATTTACCACCAAATTCGAAATTTAAAAAATAATTTTTCATGAAATTCAACTTAAAACAAAACAAAATTTACAATAAATTAATATAAAATTTAAATTATTTCCTCCTTTAATTCTTTTTATTATTCTCTGGAAGCCATTTAATTTCATTTAATTCCCATTGCTTTAAAAAAGGGGGAAATTAATTCAAGATAAAAATTCTTTTCATTTTTTTACCTGTGAATATTTTCCCCTAACACATTTTGACATTTTTGGTAATCTTTCAGGTTTTTCCTCTTTTCCATCAAAATTAAAAATATTTGCAGAAGGGAAGGAATTAGCTGTTTCTATTGGTTCATCCAAACATAAACTGCTGTTTATGTGGACAAAATGTCGGTTCTTTAAATGTTATTTAGATTTTAATTAAACTTCAACTCACTCGATATTCCCAACGCCAATATTCCATTTCTTAAATTAAAAGATTTTTTTGTAAAAATTCTTTTGTTTAAACACTTTTATCCTTAAATTCTGTTCATCTCAATGAATTGTAATATGTATAAGGAAGATTCCGAGAGAGAGAGAACGAGAGAGGGAAGGGATTCCAATAAATTAAATTTCATTTTACACTAAACTTCAAAAAGTATGAAGCATTCCTCCCTTCTCCTCAGATCCCTGTCCTAAGAAATCGAAGGAAGCATTACCCCCTCTCTAGATCATCTCTAAAATCCCTTCCCTCCTTTTTCCCCGTTTTTAACCCAACCCTTTATCATTTCTTCCCTTACTATGTCCACCACATTCCCTTAATTGAACTCTCCAAACATTATTATCTGTTTGTTCTTTAGCTGCACTTAAACATTGATGCTCGTCACTCATTAATCTAACACCTTCTGATTCTTTGGACGAAGCCAATACCCAAAACTACAAAATTGTTTAATGTCAACTACATAAACATTCCACCTGCCATATATCAAAACCTAGAGAGCATGTCCCCATTGTTAAACGATGTCTCTTCCCTGGATTTGAAGGTCGGCCAAAAAGACAAGAATTTGAGGATAGATGACGAAACTTTACTTTTTAAAAAATTTAAAGAATATTGAGTTAATTAATTTACACGGCCAATAAGTGCAGAACGTCCATTAGGTAAAAAATTGTCTTTCCACACATTTCGTAAATACTTATTAAAAATTGATAATTAGTTAAATATCTTTTATTTTATTAATCTACTTTGTTGTTATCCTCCAAGTTTCCCACTATTAATTAAGGTTCGAGGATGGTGATTAATCCCCAGGGCGGAGAACCCTACTATTAATCAGCCACTTTTAAGGGAGGGGGGGGGGGGGAGTTTACGGAATATCGATATATTCTTTTGGGTCATTTTAACATTTTTAATTATGGTTGGCCTCTAAAAGGGAAAGGAAAGTCTAAATCAGTATGAACCGGAAACCTGAATACTATAAAGCTCTTTCTTTATTAAGTTTATTTACCCAATTAAAATTTTTGCAGTTTAATTTTTTGCGTAATTCAATTCTTTCACTAACATCTAAGGAAGGAATTAGAGCAGAAGCCTCTAAAAAATTTTTTTCATTTTATTTTTTAAAAAATATAAACCCACGCGGTGATATTTTATAAAAGAAATGCCTTAAAAATATTTTTTTAATCTTTTCCTTCCATTTAATCTATTTCCTACCTCCACTGATCCATCCATACTTCACTCACTCTCGCCAAGTTTGAATTAAGTATTTTACCAGAACTTTTTTCTTTAGGAAAATCATGGGGAGAGGCATGTCGGAATACATGGCCAACCTTTTTAGGGGATTTTATTTTTCTTTAAATTTCAAAAAAAAACGTGGGAGCAAGGCAGAATTTCTATAACACCTCCACATTGCCATACTCTAAAAGACATTTCCAAATTCTCCCCTCCCCAAATGTCCATATCCGGGTCATAAGCACCCAATTCTTGGAAAAATTGTTTGTCTATACTAAAGAGACCGCCAGCCATTGTTGGAGAACTTTTAAAAAATTAAAAGTAATTTTTTATTTTTAAATTACACAATGGCTGCTGTAGGGTCTTTTTGATGCCTTTGCTTGGCCATATCTGTTGGAACTGCATACCTTAAAAATTATTAATTCTTGCGTATTTCTGAAGCTTTAAACTCTCTCGCTGTTTTTCTATAATCCGGAAAATGTGTGAAGTATTATACATAGAGTAGTAGGGAAGAACAGAACTTTCCGGAAACGTAATATAATATATTCCGGAAAAATAGACATAGTTAAAAAGCATGTAATACGGAAACATATAATATAATCAACTTTCCGGAAACATAATACAATATATGTATATTCCGGAAAAATAAATATAAGAATGTAATTACGGAAACATATAATACATATAATCAACTTTCCGGAAACTCCTACCAAATATACATTCCGGAAAAATATATGCATACATATGTACATTCATTCCGGATTCTATTTAACAGAGTATAGAATTAGAGTGTTAGACACAATGTATTAGCTACTCTACTCACCATCTAAATTGCATATTCCAATTAAATCCTCCTCTAAATAATTCGATTCCTTTTTGATAAGCAAATGTCTGGTCATTTATAACATCTACATAAAACTATTAAATAATTACAAATTTATTACCAATAATAGGACAAACAACAGCCTTTCTTTCTTTCCTTATTCTGGCCAGCAACGGTTCCAGCCATCCACGGGTACATTCACAATGGGACTAAAAAACTACAAATTTATAAAAAGAGTGATGATAAAAAGTTTCTTCACATCCAAAAAAGTAAGAACATTTCCTACAGCTTCTTGTGCCCCCATAAGCCTTGCTCGAATTAATCCAACCCTTTCTTTAGCCCTAATAAGTTTAATTCTGATAGGCAAAGTTTGTAAGAAGAGTTCCAATTCAGCCCCCAGAAATTCTAAAAAAGAAAAAAAAATATTTGTTTTTATTTTTTAAAAACTTCGATTTGAGAAGTCATCGACAAGAATTATCTCACGCAATAATGAATGAGGCGATCGGTTGATGACGCTGTAAAAATCAATAAATGTTTTGAATAAATTTTCCGGAAAATATACATATGTAAGTATTATTTTCAGAGGAATGGAAATCCAATTAAATACAAATATGTATCAGGGATGGATACGCTTCCGCATTCCGCCATCCGCAACATTCCGCTTTTTTTACCTCGCTTCCGCTTTTTAAAATTTAAAATTCTCCATCCCTGCTATGTCTGTTCAACAACTTCTTTTACTTTCAAAAATTATATGTATAATGTTCCGGAAATAAATTTAAGTTTACAACAGGGGCGAGCCAAAACTCGGGTCAGTAAAAATAGACGAAACGGCACATCCCTGTGACGAAATTTTATCCAGAGACAAAATTTATCCAACCTTGTTATTGTACGTGCCAGTGTGGAGAAGGCCTTTAAAAAACTTAACAGGTTTAAACTTTCATTTTCTATTTAACAGCCTCACCTCATTATGGAATACAATAATTATAGAAGTATCCGGTAATTTACTAATAGGAGGCAGCTTTTCAGCATAAGCCCGACATTGAATTCGACGAATATCCGGTAATGTTCGATTTATTGCTATCGAGTCACTGGCCAACAAGTTGAACTGGAAATTGTGTGTATATAAAACTTTCCGGAAAAGATCTTTTTAAGTGTTTGTCAATGTTGGAGGGAATTTTAAGGGAGAGGGAATGTATAGACAATCAATTTTTTAAAAATTTTCAATTGATTAATTTATTGTCAAAATCTCAAGTCATGGGGATTTTTTACACATGACTTCTCCCCCTGACTTTTACACATGTGAAAGAATCAATCAGTCATTCAATTTTTCAGGAGGGAGGGAGAGAGGGAGTGGAGGAGTCGAGACTCTCCCTCTCTATGGGGGAGATAAAGGGAGAGATGCTGCCTTCATTAATTTATTCATTTTTTTTCAATTTTAAATTTTTAAAAGAAAAATTTCAAAAGAAAAAATTTAAAGAAAAAATTTTAAAAAATCCTTCTATAATTATGATTCTTCATAAAGTAATTATTTTATTACTTTTTATGATTGATATCCAAGTGATTAATTCAAAGTTAATTAACAGAAAGAAACAAAACGTTATGCAAGAACAACATAATGGTATTTAAAAGATTTTAAAATATTTTTTGTGGAGAATTTAAAGACGAGGGAAAATCTATTCTTTTTTAATAGGGTTGGTCCATCGGGGAGGAATATTTCAGGAATGTCGGAGAATAGCATGTCAGTTATTGGCAAATGGCCTACAAATCATCGTTAGGCGGGGTTAGGGAGTCGAAGACAACCCCCTACTTTTTAATAATGAGAATTTTGATTGAAATGTTTGTCAAGGAACTCCTTCCCTTAAGAAAAATAAAAACAAGGGTATTATTATCTTTACAATGTCTCATTTAATTTAATCCAAAAAAATTTGGGAGGAATATCCAAAAATCGATATAACCTTTCAAACACTTAAAATAAAATTTAGTGATAACTTTGGATAGTGATGACATTAATGACATTAACGGTAGAGAAATTAAAAAATGGATAGGCGAACAAGAAAAACAATATAAAGACCTTTTTACAAATAAAAATTTTGCTCACAAATATTTAAATGCTAAAAATTTGAAAGATATAAAGCAGTCACTATCAGATATATTAGACGAGAATATTTTTGGGTTTTTTGTAAATGCTGAAAAATTGTCAATTTTTTCTGTATGTTTGGATAATTTATATCAAAGAAAGGTACATATAAATATTTATGTGTATTACAAATATATCAACTATTTATGTTAATTTTTTCGAGTACGAATTAGGGTGCGGGATTCGAAACAGAAAAAATGAACACAAATTTGAACTCAGCACACTCGATTACTTACTGGCAAACAAAAAAATATCGAAAAAGCACACCAGCTTAACCTTTACCATCCCTTCTTTTAATTTGTCTTCCAATGTCCCTTTAAAGAGATTATTTCTAAAAAAAGTATCTGAATCGAAAAAGTAGAATATGAACTCCGTGGGTCCAAAAGATTTAGTCTAATAAAATTTGAAAAATTGAAAAAAAAATTTTAGGAAGAAGAGTTGGATAATGATTTGGACAAAGATTTGATGTCTAAAATAAAAAGTAAATTAGATAATTTAAAAAAACATTCTTTCGGCATGATTCTTTTTGTAACCGGAGTTTGTAAAGTTTTTTCAATTTATTTAAATGAAAAAGAAAAATTTAAATTTAAAATATTCAATGAAAATTGTGAAAAAGAAATACTTCCAAAAATGGAAAAAATATTTGATGAGTATGAAATTAAATTAGAGCCTTACGAAATTGAAAAAAATGGAAAAATTTTATTTTATAAAGATAATATTAATTTGGGATATAGTCTTTATGATTTAAATAAAATTGAGGGAATTTTTAAAAAAGAGGATAAAAAAGTGGTTAGTTTAATTATTTTAATTTGAAATTCAAAATTAATTTTAATAAAATTTTAGAACAAAGAGGAAGGAAAAGACAACAAGCGCAAAGCAGATTAGTAAAAGAGGAAATGTACATATTTACATACTATGTAAAAATGTTAAAAGAAAATGTAAAAAAAAGAAATTTTTAAAGAAGTTAACACGTGTTTCAGAACAGTCAGAGGTGTCGGAAATCAGAAAAGCCGAAAATCGGAATTGACTCAATAGTCGGAAATCGGAAATCAAAATTTTTTTCGGAAATCGGAAGGAAAAAACGCCGGAAACCAGAATTCCAACCCACCTCTGCTCTCGTTTAGGGTTGTCAGTTTAAAACCAAACAGAAAAACCTAAGATTTTAGGTTCTGTTTTAGTTACCCGAAGAATTTGGTGTAACTGACAACCCTCCTTCTACCGTTGTAAATAAGACTAAAAGGGTATTTTGTTCATATCCCCCGCTTATTTGAGTTAAAAATTAATTTTCCTTGTATAATCCTCAAGCATTCTAAGTAAAATTTAAGTTAAATTAGCAAAAATTAGGAAAGAAAATAGGCGGCAGTGGCAACGATCAAGTCTTATAAAAAGAAATTTGACATTCTGAGGCGAAAAAGAAAAAGGAAAATTAATCTGAGACACAAATAGGGGGAGGGGGGACATGAACAAAATACCGACTATTGATACAAAATTTGATTTATTTATTGAATCCTATTTTTATTTGATTGGAAATGTATTTATTTATTTGAAGAAGTAAAAAAAGTTTTTTGGGGGAAATTTTTGTAAAGTTTAGTACCTGATTAATACCAAAAGTATGTTCTGCTCTTTTCTCCTCTTCCGGACTCAATTCCACAGGGTGTCCATTTTGACCCGCTTCGGGAATTGGCGAATAATTATTTTTATTTAATTCGTCTATAAATATTTTCAAGATTTATAGTCTCAAAAAACCTTCAGTTAAGTTAGCCCTTCTCTCTGCCGGCAAATTCCCATTGAAGTGCCCAACCAAAAGTTGAACTCCCCTTCCAGCATAAGAATCTGGGTCTACTGTTAAAAGAGAGGAGGAAGAGGATTTTGTTAAGAAAACGGGGCCGAGTAACTTTGAAAGGGGAATTAAAAATTGTTTTTATGTTCACACACTTACAGCTTCTTGTGCCAACAAAATTAACAAAGTTAGCAATACCCAACAAAGCAAAAATGCCAAAATTCCAATCACCCAAAGCAGGATAACCCCTCTCCGACGATAATTCTTTCTTAACCATTTTAAATTTAATAAGAAGGGGAAAGTGTCGTCGATTCCCATTTAATTTTGGGGGGAAAATGTGTTTCTAGAAAGGAAGAGGAGAAGAGAAGTTTTGGTGGTTGATGGGTGGCCTTGTATGTATGTGAATGAAAGAATACCTCCACTAACTATCTGCCCTGAAGCTGGGAGAGAGATGAAAAAGCCGAAAAGAGAAGAAAGACTATGCATGCGCAGTCCGGCGATTTATTTTTAAAGATCAATCGATCATAACCCGGTTGGTGAGTGCCGTTGTTGTTTTTATTTTTCGCCCCAATAAAAGTTTTTTTCATGTACATACAAAGAAAATAATTACCTAAATTAATTCTGAAACTTGTATCCTGAATTTAAAATATACCGTATTATCTCTAATAGAATGGCCGGCCATTCTGTTTTTCGATCATCCTCTAGGGGGCCATTCTATTAGAGAGGGCCATTCAAATGGAAAGGGTCATTCTTTTAGAGATATACGGTAGTATATTTCCTGAAGGAATATATTTCTAGCAAGTCTATTTTGTATTTTCAAGAAGGTATATTTAAAGTTTAATTTATACATGTATACAATTTTAAATTAAAAATACAATAAAAATAAGATCATTAATTAATTAAACACCCTGAGTAAAAAATTAAAAATTCAAAAATATTTTCAAATTCAAAAACTGACAGCAGCCAAAGGGGATTCTTTTCTTGTCAGTAACACACAACTTTGGTGTCTTTCCATTTCACAACTACTCGGTCTTTCTCTTAAAATACTGCTAGAAATTTTTGTTGTGCCTCTTCTGTTCATTGACCTTTGACTGTCTGTTCTGAAAATTTAATTTTATATTTCCGGAAAGTATTTTCTAAAGCCTTTTTACCTAGTTACTAAAGCATCCCTCACTCTCCTCACCAACTGACTTCCGTTCATTCTTCTCTGCATTGACCGCCTCCATTGATAATGGGCTGAACGGATAGGGCGATTAAATAAAGTGAAAATTGCCGGGTATGCCGCACAGCTGATATATGGCATTAAATGTACATAATACATGACAATTACAGCTAAAATTAAAAAAATGTTAAAAATGGGGGGGGGGGGGAAGGATATCCGGAAAAACTTCCAATAAACTTACTCTGTTTAGTCATTCTCAAATGAAAAAGTCTTTGGGCATACATTCCTATCCAATAAGGTGTCCAACAGACTAAATAGACCATTGCTAACACAACAACGGTAACCACAACTCTTCGAATAACGGCAACGGAAGGTGCAGGAAAACTGTTTGGAATACCCCCACTTCCCGTAATTCCAGATTTAATAGAAATTGGTTGATGACTAGAAATGAAGATAAAATTTAGATAATTTATTTGGGTAGATAACCTTTGGGTAGATAAAGATGAGGATGGATTTTGGCTCAAAAGTTCTTTTCTCCTCCAAAGGAAGAAAGGAACGGATGCATACCAAAAGAGAAAGCCGGCAAAAGGAATGCAGTAACTAAAATAATAAAAAAAATTAAGTGTGTTAATGTGGGTGTTAGAGTGCGGCATGGAGGGATTCTGTACGGGATTTTGTGAGATCCCGTCCCGGAATCTTACGAGATTAATCCCGCTGGATCCCTCCGGTTCGATCTTTTTAAATTTAATCCATTTACGGGTCCCGTGAGTGCGATTTTGTCGCAATCTAGTGAGTATAATGATCCGGAAAGTTGCATTTTACTTTTTCAAGACTCACCTAATTATAAATTTCACGGAAAGTTATTATACAAATGTCAACCTATTTTTCCGAAAGGTTTATTTTAATTTAATATACTATAAACCTTTCCGGAAAGTTTATTTTTATTTTATTTTAACCCACCTAGTTATACTGACTACAATATTAAAAAGCAATTCAACATTTGGCGGAGGTAAAAAGGCACATTTACGAACAAACCTAAAAAAATTAAATTTTAAATAAAATATAAAATCCTCACAGTTCTTGTCGTTTATGTCTATCAATACGTACAACAATTTCTGTGACCTATAAAAAATATTTTTAAATTAATTTTCTAATTAATTACAAAAATTACTTGAGAGTAAACAAGAAGAGGCCAAAGAAGACACAAAACAATTGCCAAAGCAACCATAACTTGAATAAAAGCTGTTTTAACACCGCTATTATTATTTGTTGTTTGACGTAAACGGCCTTTATCCAAACATATTATTGAATAACAAGTACGAGAAATTAACAAAACAATTGCTGGGGCAGAAAATTTATTTAGGGAATCAAAAAGTAAATAGGCTCTGCAGCCAGCTAGTCCAAAACGCCAAGTTCCGTTAAGTATTTCCAAATTTAGAAGAACCATTCCTGGGGAAAATTGAGGGAAATAAGAAGAAAAAATTATTTGATATATTTTTCTAGGGTGTGCGCAAAAACGTATAGAACGCCAAGTTTCCGGAAAAATACATACCTATGTACTTACCAGCTTGCAGTAAAATAAACTTGTCAGAGAAAGACTTAAAACTTATTTGAAAATTGAAGAATTTCCGGAAAGTTTATTTAAACTTGAGTTGTATACCGAACGCTCGTAGGCGGGTATACGGGGCTAACAAAATTTTCAAAAAAAAATGATAAAAAAATTAAAATTTTCTGGCTAAAATTTTTTCTCTCTAAAGAAAAATAAAAAATAATTTACCACACATTGTAGCCAAATCAGATACACAAAGTGCAAGAATATGGAAAAGAATAGACTTTGGAACTCGTACATGGCCTAACCAAAGCAAAGGCGCCACAACAAAAAATACCCAAGAATTTGCCATAAATCCAATTAAATTACAAACTAAATAGGTTATAGCCACAAATTGCCGGAAACCCTTTTTAAAAAATTAATTTAATTTTTAAATTAATAATTTTAACAACTTTAAGAGGCATAAGTAGTTCAGTACTAGTAAAATTTCTATGTAAGAATTCTGAAGTCATTAATATTTTAGCTTGTTCTTCCATTATTTAGACTATAAAAAGTTAAAATATAGTATTAGAGATATTAACAGAAGGAAAGAAAAAATAATGCAGTATACTCTAATTAATTTTAAAACTTTCCGGAAATATAAATTTAATATAACTTTTCCGGAAAGGTTATAGATTTTCCGGAAATAAATATATTTCAAACTTTAATGAGAAATTATTTTACGGAAATAGTTTCCGGAAAAATAAATTTATACTAGTATATTTTCCGGAAAGTATTATATTTTCCGGATTTTATGTTATACCTAATAATATAAAACTTTCCGGAAAAAGTATAATTTTCAGTAATTTAATTATTATCGCACATTTAAAGAAAAATATGTTTTACAAATACAAATTTTTCAAGTAAAAAATAATAAACTTTATAAAAATGAAATTGAGCTAAATTTGAAACTGAGTTAAATAGAAATTATTGTGTAAATAAAAAATATAAAATAAATTTAATTATTACGTATATAGACAGAACTTTTTTTTGAATTATGAGAATTTTTAATTTTATATTATTACATAAATTGCTATTAATTGAGTAAGCGACTAAGTTATCTTTTTGTATAGACTAGTAACTTTTTTTTATAAATTTTAAGAGATAATTTTTTGTAAAGTTTATCCACTTTAGACATCTCATTAAATAAAAATAGGTATTTAGGTATTTTTAAAGTGGGTGTTCCCCCATTTTATGAATATCAAAGAAGTCTATTTCGACCTTCGTACCCCCCCCCCCCTCTTTTCTTTATTTTGACCCTAAAAACATAATAAATTATCCAGCACTTTTTAAAATGGCCAACCCTCCATAGGATAAAAAATAAAAAAATTCTTAATTCAAAAGTATAAACTTTCAAAATAAAATTTATTTCCAATTAAAACAATTTCTCTAAATTCTTCAAAAAAATCTTTTTATTAAAATAAAATAAATTTCTTTCCTTAGAAAAAAATTATTTCCATCTGTCTTCTGGTTATTGGTCTTTTTAATTTAATTTATTTTATTTATTTTAGAAGTAAAAACCAATTAGTATATGCAAATAAAATTAATATAAGGAAATGCAATATGGAAATAAAAATTCTTTTTTTTTATTTTATTTTTTCTGTGTGGGCTATTCGACGCCTTTTTTATATTTTTTATTTAATTAAAAAATAAAAGAAAAAAATAATTTAGAGGTGATAAAGAATTTAAATTTATTTTAAACGAATTTTGGAACCTCTAATGTGATTAGCCTGAATTTGTTTGGTTTAGAGATTAAGATTTTTGAAAAGCCTGGACCTGTTCCTGAACTTTGGAGTTTGATTTATTGGCCTGGACTGGATCCTGGCCTGCAGTCCAGGAAAAACCCAGGCCCATGAAAAACCCCCAGGAAGGTCAAAAAATGACTGGGCCTGGACTCTGGGTACAGAAAAATCCCACGCCTTGGTCCAGGTCCAGTCCGATCTCTAGTTGGTTATCTTTGGGTAGTTAATGTTTTTGAGCAGGGTTTTCGGTGCTTGAAAATCTTCGGATATTTGGGAACAGAATCGAAGAACGGAACTGGAAATCCTCAACTTTTTAGTTCAATTCCAAACCGATAACCATGTTTTATACATAGTATCAGATCTGAACCTGGAGAATTTTGAATTTTAAAAGGGCGGAAGCGGAAGAAGGTGGAATAAAATAAAAAAGCAGCTGAAGGAAGGCGGAAGCGGAAGTAAATCCAGCCTTGCTCTGAACACAGTTGTCAATTTTTGAATTAATTTTTTTCGCTCGTGTCCAGCTTTGTATGGAATTAAAAAATATAAATAAATAAAAGTAAACTTAAACGACAAACTAAAAACTCCTTTCAATCCCCTTAGTAACCAAACAAAAAAATATATTAAATAAAAATATTTCCGTATTATTCATTAAAAGAAAAAAGGGGAAGGTCAGATAAAAGAAATAAAATAAAATTTAAACATTTATTTACCTTTATTTATATTAAAAATATTTTTTTAATTAAAAAATTAAATGACGTTTAAATGAGCTTATGAATCCGTACAAAGTTTTTGAGAGATTTTGTGCTCTTTGCCATTTTATACTAATTAACTAAGGAAGTCTTATAAAATTTCTGAGACAAATCTGTATATATTATTTTTAAATTATTTAATTAAGTAGTTGCGTAATTAAAATACATGTTAAAAATAATAGAAAATTTCAGAGAACACACAAATAGGTAGGTCATCTTTAAAAAACAAAAATCATAGAAAAAGGATATTGAAGCAATTTTTTAGAAAACTTTTGAATTTAAGAATATTTTGGAAAATTTATTAATTATTTAAATTTACCCCTAATTTCAATCAAAAAAATTTTTTCAATTTATTTTATTTTCATCAGTCGAACCCTGATTTTTACATAAATTTTTGGAGATGAAAAAATTCAGGGCAATGGATACAGATACAGATAATTTCAAAGTGACGCGCATATCCGCCTGTATCCGCTGAAATATATCTGGATACGGATACCTAAATCCATGTCCATTATCAAGTCTGAAAAAATCTAATTTTATAATGAGAGATGTTTAATATTGACTAAAAAATGAGGGTTGATTGTAGAATGTTATACACCTTCTTAATTTGTTCTTACCTAGAATCCGGAAAATTCCGGAAAATAAAAAAGGAGATTAGAATAGCTGTGTTTTGTGTCGTGATTTATTTGCATTATAAATTTATTAAAAATATGACGTTAATAAAAATATTTTTTTATTAAAAATGCCAAATCAAGAATCTTTTAAATCCAAAAAAATTATGGACAAAAATGGAAATTACTATAAAGTCATTATTAAATAGCAAAATGCGTACACTTTAAATATAAAAATAAAAATAGCTTTATTAAAAAATACTTTTGGGAAGACTTTTAAAGTTAAAAAAGGAAAAAAGGAAAAAAAGGAAAAAATTCTACATAACTACTACTACTAAAAAACATTTAATGGCCAAATAAAAACTTCCTTTTAATTGTAATTATGGAAAAAATGGAAGAAATAATTAGATAAAAAAATAAAAGAACGAACATTTCTGTTAAAAAATAAGTTGGGAATATTTGGGGGAAGGGAGGGGGGGATAATTGGAAAGGAATAAATTGGAGGGAGGAATGGGTGAGGGAGGAAGGAGAGGATAAATTAAGAGGGGAGGTTGAAAAGAAGGTTAAATATTTCGAAGAAGGGTGTTTCTTAGGAAAAAAGTTTTATCGTAAATGCTCTAATTAAAGACCAGTCTCTAGTAGAAGCCCATATCTAACCCTCATTTTTACTCGAATCCGGAAAATTCCGGAAAATAAAAAATAAAGGAGAGTAGAATAACTGTATAGACCCAGGGCCCGTAGAATAAGAAGGTGGTTAGGTGACGATGGAACCACAAGGTCATTGTAAACCGGTAGAATAAGAAAACCACGTGGTTAACCACCGTCGTAAGGTCACCTAACCAGCAACCGAGTTCTTATTCTACGGGCCCAGGGCTTTAATTAGAGCATTTACGGTATATAAAATTAATTTTCTATTTAAATATTCTAAATTTTCAAGCCTTTACTATGTACTCTTTACTCATTTATCGTCATTTAAATTGCTTCTTTTAAAAATTAAAAAAATTTTTAATTGCCTATCTATACCTTTAAAGTAAATTTATTTAAATTAGCACTTTAACTTTAAACAAAGATTTTCTTTAAAGAAAAAAAGGAAATGCCCTTTCCTTTCCTTTATCTACGTTAACCACTAACAACAATTCCCTCCCCTTTTCCTTTTCTTTACACATTTCATCGAACCATAAAATCTCCCAAGGGATAAACAAAAAAATGCTAATTTACGTTTTTAAAGGGGGAAAAGACATCGTTTTTGAAATGCAAAGGAGAGGGGGTTGTCGGAAAAAGAAAAAAGCTGTCGGGAAGTCGAAACCTGCAGAGATGCCGAAAATCGGAAGTAAAGACGGAAGGCGGAAATTGAAAGAAAATTCAAAAATTTTCCCATACAGCACTAGAAATTGAAATTTTGGATTAATTATTTTCAAATGTGAAAGTACAATGTATTAGTGTAGAAGGTCAAAAATTGTTTTATTAGGTGGTCGGGATTTTTCGAAGGAGAAATAGGTGAAATCAGAATAACGATAGTAACTTGTTGGAATATTTTTGGCCCTTGTCATTCTTGGTAACAACCTCTTTAACTCGATGAGAGGAATATCGTTTAATACAATTAAAAAATCCGGAAATCTTGAAGTAAGTTATGGCTTTGCGCCTACTTGGGATTTGCGCCTACTACGCTCTAATTCAATCTCATTAAAAAATCTTTTATTTGCTCCAAAGCCGCAGCGAAAACTTAAAAAGAATTCTAATAAAATTAACTAAAAAATGATAATTTTGAAAAATCGAAACCCCGCAAAAAATTTTTTGGATGTTTTCTTTCAATAAAAAACATATACTATTCATTATATTTAAATTTCAAACTTATTAAATCACAAAAAAAAAATAATTTTTTGCGTTTCAACTTTTTGGGGCACACCCTCAAAATTATTTAAATGCCTGCCAACAATCTTAAAGGTGAAAAAATGCCAATAAAAAGTACAAAAAGTTTTAGATTTACGTGAGTCACATGCCGTAAACGAAAGATTATATTCCCATCATTTAAAATAAATTTTGCCCTTTAAATACGTATTTAAAAATAAAAAAAAATTGTTTACAACACTAAAAGGTTAATTAATAAATTTTGAGAAAATTAAAAAGAAAAAAATTTTTTTTCAAAAAATTTATTCACAAAAAAAAGTTTTTCTTAGAAATAAATACGTGATAATAAAATAAATTTTATTTTTTATTTTTGAAAAAAATGTTAAAGTAACGCTATTTTGTTTTCTTAAAAATTTAGCTTTTTTATAAGAAAATTTAAAAGAAAATACGCAATATATTGTTGAGCTAATTATTTAAAATTCTAGAGGTTTTACGAAACAACCTGTTACCCCCTTAAATATTTTTAGACGGGAATAAATAATTTTTTAAACAAAAAATATTAAAATGTGTTATATTTTGGTAAACCAGACTTTTTTAAATTTAAAAAAAAAAAGAAAAAAATATAAACAGACATTTTATAATTTATTAATATTTAAATATTTAATGTAAATTTTGGGCAATTTAAAAATCGAAATTATACAAAAAATATCAAACATTTGTGAGAATAAAAAAAAGAAAAATATTTTAAATTACACGTTTGCCCTGTGTCGTCTTCTAAAAGTCTCCTCTAATAATTGAAATTATTACTTCAGCCCAATTATTACCAGAAAAATTACATATTACCGCCCTATAAAATTCATTTTATGGAAGTAATTAAATTGTAAGGATCCGAAAATTATTTATTTGAATTACTGAAGTTTTAATATGTGTTAAAATGAAAATTAAAAAAATTTTTAGATTCAGCCCGGAAAGAAATAAATTCAGAAAGATAACTAAATGAAATTTATGGTCACTGAGTTTTTAATAATAACTTAAAAACAAAAATAAACTTTTATTTCGAAGTGAACTATTAAAGTAGGGTTGTACCCCGAACGCCCGGGGGCGGGTATGCGGGGTACAGGGTTTCCGAATTGTTTCGGGGCGGGGTTCGGGTCGGGGAAAATCGTAGAAAAATCGTTCGGGAACGGGGTTGGGATACAACTCTATATTAAAGGTAAATATTTCCAAATTTTATTATCCTCACAAAAAAATTTAAAAAAATCTAAAAATTGTCTAGACAAAAATATAAGGAAAGAAAGAAGTGTGTAAAATATAATTTCACAAATATATGACACAAATTTAATTTTCAAAGGAGCAATTCAAAAAATTTAACTAAAAAATTTAAATTGTTTTTATTGTTTACTTGCACTTTTTAACTTTAAAATGTGCTTGGGGAAATTGAAAGTTTATATAATGGCCACACAAGGAGAGAAAAACTGTTCCCCCCCTTATTTAGTAGAATTTTAAAAGAAGTTTCCGTTAAAATATAACAATTATTTTCTCGAATAATTAGCTTGGAAAGAGAAATTAAAGGAAAGAAAAAAATAAAAAAAAGTTTTAGGTAAATAAAACTACTAAAAATCCATCGAGTTATTAAATGAATGTCCCAATCCTTTTTTGATCTGGTATTTATTCACCCCCCTCCTACCCCCTAATTATTTTTCCTCTATCTGACTATACTTTCATTTCAAAAAATTCCAAACTTTTTTTCCTCAATATGCCCTCTTTAACGGAAAAAGATATCACCTAATAGGCAATACCATTTCTTTTTATCACCTGATAGAATTACTTTTATCCAAACAGGGCTAAAGACTAACAATAAGTAAATCACCATTTTATTTTACAGAAAAACAGTTTCCTTGTCACTCTTGTCACTAATAATTTAAAACAAAAAAATGAGTAAAATGAGAATTTGGAAATTTTGAAAAATAAATTTGAAACAAAAATTCTTCCAATTTTTACAAAAACATTTTTTTCTTTGGGAAGTGTTTTTCTTTTTTTAGATTCTTTTAATTTTTAAAAAAAACCCGTTTTGAGTGTTTTTCAAGCCTGAATTTTATTATTATTAAATAAAGGTAATATAGAAGATGCTGTTGATGTTGAAGGTTGTTGTAAAGCTAAAAGATATTCTTTTTCTTCTTTTTCTGTTAATTCTTCTTTATTTTTATTAAATTCTGTTAAATTTACATAAATAATTTGTTGCTCTTCTTCTTCTTCTAAAATTTCATCTACTAAAGGAAATTCCGGAAGAGAATGAAAAGAAGCTGAACGGCGAAGATTTGAATTATTTGATGGATGGTGGGAAGAAGACCAAAATGTTGGGGGAGGTTGGTCTTCACCCAATACTTCTCTAATTGCTGCTTCCTAAAAGAGAAAGAAAGATTAATTTTTTAAAGAGAAAAATGTTTTTTAAAAAGGGGTGGGGGCTAACTCAAGGAATACCAACTCAAGGAACGGACAAATCAAGGAAAAGGCAGGTCGAGGAAATCTGTTGAATTCTAAATTTCTTTAAATATACTTATAAATATTGTGGATAATTGGAAGCAAAAAAAGAAATTCTCAGAAAAAATTTTTTAATTTGCAACCAAATATTAATGGACAATTAATTTTTTAATTTCAATTTAATTCCAAAATTAATAGGATGGGAATTGGGATAAAACCATCATGGGAAGGGACTGTTTACAGAGCACAACTGCTGTGCCAATTCAACCCGCGATAGGTTATTTTTTAATTTTTTTTCTGCAAATGCGGACAAAAGAGAGACAAAAAACAAAGTAATCGTCTTGTTAGCACATTCAGAATACCCTCCACGAAATATAGTGAGGGAAACACGTAGTAATAACGGGTACAGCCCAAGTAGGCGCGCGGCCAAGTAGGCGCAAAGCCATAACTTGCTTCAAGATTTCCAAATCTTTCAAAATTTAGTATTAAACGATTCCTCTCATCGAGCTAAAGAGATTGGTACCAAAATTGCTGAGGTCAAGAAATTTTGCAGCTAGTTATGGCTTTGCGCCTACCTGGCCGCGCGCCTACTTGGGCGTGTCCCAGTAATAACTGCTAGAAGGACAAAGGGTTCAACTTCTTTCTAGTGGTTATTAAAATTTCTACCTATTAAAATTTCCATTATTTACTAAAAATTTCCCTCATTTTCTTTTACCTTTCTACTAATAATGTCAACATTAGTTTCAGTTCCAATAGCCTCCAACAATTTATTTACATAACGTTGTTTTACTTTGTATTGATTTAATATTTTTAAACGTTGTTCTAAAGTAAAGGTTCTTACTGCATTTACACTCTTTTCATAACTTTCCCATAAATGTTCAACTCTTTTATGGCCAAATTCACGAAGACGAGATATCTAAAGAAATTTAAATTGTTTAAGATAGGGTTGTCGGTTCCTGAAACTTCTTCGGATACCGAACCAAAGAACCTAACCTAAATCGGTTCGGTCCAGAATCGACAACCCTAGTTTAAAATAAATTTGCAGACAAGTATTTTTAAACGATGATTAGCGAAATAAAATTATCGAGGAGAGAGAATAAAATGAATGAGAATCGGTAAAGTTAGGAATGTGAATTTAAAGTATTTTCTAACTTACAAGGGAACCTTCCAAAATGGCAGTAAAAATTTTTAAATAAAAATTATATCGTGTAGAGCATGTCGATAACCTATTACAAATTTTTGGCTCCGACCCCCAAATCGAAAAGTTATAGGGCTTCAAAGTCTTCGACCTTTGGAGCGGTCGAGTCTGTTTCTAACAATAAAAAGTACTCGGAAATTGATAATCGAAAAGTTTAAAATTACAAATAGAAATCAAAAAATTCGCAAAACACGAAATTTCGAAACCAGTTTTTAATTTAAAATTTAAAGAACCTGTTGATAATACCCATCCAAGTGTTGTTGAACATTTTCCTTTTGGGCTTGTCTATAATCTCGAAAACGCTCGGAAGACTCCAAATAAGAGTTACGAATAGTTTCAACTTGAGTGTGATAATTTTCTCGAAAAGTTGACATTCTCCGACTTGAAATTAAAAAAACAAAAATTTTCTTTAAAAATTAAAAATATACTTGTAGCCTTCATGTAACGATTCCATATGTTTTTGTCTATATTTTTCCATAGCAACAAGCATTGCCCGGACACGGCTCAAACGTTCTACAATAATAAAAATTTTAAAAATCTTAAGATATATTAGAAAAGAAAAGGGAAACTCCAAAAGACCTCCTCCGGTACCTTATAGAGATCGAGATTTTTGAAAAATCTGGACCTGTTCTGGACTCTGGAGTTTCATTTCTTGGCCTGGACTGGATCCTGGGGCTGTAGTCCAGGAAAAACCTAGGAAGGTAAAAAAATGCCTGGACCTGAACTCTTGGTACAGGAAAAACCCAGGCCTTGGTACAGCTCGATTTCTAGTACCTTCTTAAATTTTACCAGGAGAAAATAACATAGAAAGCTCTGACATGTTACAAGATGTAACAAAAATTAGCCTAGATTTTTTAAGAACATTTAAAAAATAAAAAGTCCAAAAAATTCAAGCAAAAGATATAAATAAAAAAATTAATTTAATAATTTAAAAAAATAAACAAATTAAATTTATTTATTAATTAGAAGATAAAAAGAAAGACATGAAATGAGGTAAAAATAAATTGAATAATTATAAGTATTAATTTTATTAGGAGATTAAAGATGGATGAGACCAAGAAAAAAATCCAATCCTTAATAAGTTAATCAAAAGAATTATAAGACTTTTCTTTTGCCCCTTTCTGTTTAAGCCCACTTCTTTCCAAAGACCGGACACGATTTAAACGTTCTAAAAAAGTCAAATTCCTAATAAGCAAAAAAGTTATTTTCGGATTTTGGAGCTAGAGAAAAACCACAACCCCTTTAATTTAATATCCCCTTTCAAAGTCAAGTTTTAAAAATTGAAAAGATCTTTGTCCCTGCTACTATGTAATAAAAAGCAAGCAGTACATAGAAAAAAAACAGACTTAAAGAGTGTAGAAAATATTTAAGTAAATATAATTGAAAATAAGCAGAAAAAATTCTAAAAAATCAAAAAACTGATAAATTATCGATCCCAACCTCAAATTTTAAAAAATAGAAAAAATAGAGTCTTGTTTCCCCACAACTTTTTAAATAATTTAAACCCAAACCTGTCCTTTTAATCCAACTCAAAACACTCCAACGAATCAAAATCCAAAAAATATTTAAAAGAAAAGAAGCAACACAGAAAATCAAAGCAAATATACACGAACCATAAAAAAGTGAAAAAGGTTCGGGTGCGTACCAAAAAGAAAAGTCTAGACGAAGAAGGACTGAATCTCTTGTTTGGTTTCCATTTAAAAATTTTAAAAGACATTCATATCTTTTTTTTAAAAAATTAAAGTTAAGTCAAAATCATACAAAATTAAAGAAAACCTCTCAACAAGTTCCCTACGAACATTGTGAATTATTAAACTTCCATTTTCTGCTATTTGGTAAGCTCCATCCTTTGTCCAGTTTGTATGTACATGTCTAAAAATAAATTAGTTAAGGTCGTATCAAGAAATAAAAAAACGATTTTAGGATTTAAAATTTGCTAAGAGAAAATTGCTAATAAAAATATTTCACCCCGAAATGGATGAAAATGGGAGAAATATTGGAAGACGATGATCGAATTTTTTCGTTTATAATCTCCAGAAATCCTCAAATTTTTCGCTTGCACCACTAAAAGTACAAAAGCCAAAATTTAGGCGTACATTGATTTTAGACGCCCTAGATCTAAGTCCTGTCTGAGCGCTTGTGATGTGTGCAAAGAGCCTACGAGAATTCAAGGACCGGATAGAAACGGACTAAACCTTAAGGGGAACAGAGTGTCGGAAAATTTTTATTCTTTAAAATAAAAACCTTGAAGTAGCATTAAAAGCTCCAATATAAACTCCACCAATTCGTTTATACCACCATTCAATTAATTCCAGACCCGTTCCATTTGAAGAATTACAAGGAAGAAGTGCATCTTCGAGAAGTCTTTGCCTAACTATTTTGGGTATATTATTTGTTGTTGCTGTTAAATTTCTCTTCTCATTTTGTTGGGAAAATACAAAAACATCCAAAAATAGTAGAGACATGACCATATTTAGATAACCACCAAACATTGAACTAAAAAATTTTAGAGAAGGAATGCAATAAAATAGGTAAATTGCGTCAAGTTTAGAAAAACTTTAACAAAATATTAAAAAATTTTAGTGGTTAAGGGAGGTAAAATTTTATTTAAGTAAAAAAATAAGTTAAAATACATTGAAATGTCTACAATGACGCGCAAAATTTATGAAAATTTTCTCAAAACTGTATAACTCGTGAAGTCTTTAAGTTATTATAAGTCTTATTTTTTGGGAGATAAAAAATAAAATTTATATTCATAAGAAACAACATACTTTAAGACTTCACGAATTATACGGGTTTGAAAAAATTTTTGCGCCGTAGTGTCAAAAAAATTTTAAACCAAAAATATTTTTAAATTGAAAGACAAAAATTTTCGAGTCAAAATAGTACTTAAAAAATATCCAATAAATTAAATTTTCTCTACTTTACAGCTACTCATTCTTGCTGATCAGGACTCCACTAAATTAAAAAATCGTAGTTAGCAAAATAAAAAAGAAAATAAAAAATATAAACAAATGTAAAGATTGCATTGCCGTTATGTGTGGTTAAATTTCAATTTATTTTTTTAGGATTTTTCTTGATAACTCCTTTTCCTTCCATTGTCTGGAAACAATGGTCAGATCTTTCCACTTAATTTTACCCCAGATACCTTTTCATTTATTGTTTTATACCAAAGCCCGGACTGGGGGGCGTACGAAAATTGTGACTGCCGTATTTTAGACTAGCCTGACACGATCATTGACGAATGAGAAGGAAAAAGGAGCGTTGCCATAAATGTCTAGAGTAGCGTAACGGGGAATTAAAAGAAAATTAAAAAAAAACTATTTTGACTATTGTGCAAACTTTACATGCGCAACAAGCCTACCACAACAACAAGACTATCCTGTTCTCCATCAGCGTTTTGACATAAAGCCTATAAATAATTTTAATTTTCAATAGACCTAAATAATAATTTACAAGTAAAAATTAACCTTTAGCCTAATTCTTGAGCCCAAAGTAAAAGTTTTACGAGATCTTTTAGCACGGCGCCCAAAAATTTCCATTCGATTATTTACAGCAACTTTAGTTGTTTTGCTAGATTTATCAGCGCTAAAATGTTGACAAATTTGGTGAGATTGGCAATTATCAACCCCAGGCTCTAATAAAGATGCATTTTCACACTCTTCGCATATAGGCTAGAAAATAATTAACTTTTTAGAAAAATCTTTGAATATTTCGATTTTTTAGAAACACCGTCGTTTAAAAACTTCTGGCGTAAATTTCTTAAAATTTTTGGACAAATTCTAGTGGAATCTATTGCGGCTCCCTGTCCCACGTCACCTTACTTAATACTTCAACAAAACTCGAGCCGAGAACTCGTAATAGATTCCACTTGATTTTAAATTAAAATTACTTTAAAACTTATAACGTTTCCGTCTCTTGTGGCCGTTCGCCGGAATTTATCAGCACGTTCACTTTCTGAAACCGCAACAGCCAAAGGCTTGTCAATATATGAAGGCGGAGCATCTCTTCTGAAGATATTAATTGCACCCGACGGTCCAGATATCAACTTTAAATGTAAAAAATTTCTTTAATTAAAAAAAAAATCCAACCCAATCAACACGTTTCCCAACACGTAACTCAATGCGGGTTAACAATTCGCGTAAAGACATTGGACCATAAACCTGCCACACTCGTTTCGAAGGAATATCTGAAGGCAAAACTGGGCTTGGAGTGTTGCTCTGAATTCGATCCCCCATTAAAATTTTTAAAGCTTTATCATATCTAGAAAATTAGAATTATGGAAATTATTCTTTCAGCATTAAATCGGGAATCGAAAAATCAACAAAACAAAACTCATTAAAATTAGAAAAAAACAAACTACCGATTCCCTGCTTACTCCTTTGTCAGCTTTTAAATAATTGAGGGAAATACCTTTAAATATAATTGACAAAATTTTAATACAGAGCCAAATCAAATATTTAAAATTTACTAGAAAATAAATTGAAGTGATTGACGTCTATTTGTTCAAATACAACAATTTAGGAATTTTTTGAACAATCGGAGTAAAAATGAAAAACTTTAAATATTACAAATAGACGTTAAATGTTTATAATATTTGAGGAAATTTGAGGATACACTTTAATATTATTCCAAGTTTATTACGGGCATCTCGAATCCTCTAGGATACCATTTAATCGTAAAGAAACAAAAGTAAAGATAAAGTAAGGTTAAATGACGATTTTGTGTTATTCGTCAAAAACAAAAAATTTGAACTTCCTCAAGCTTACACAAGAGAAAGTCCGCAATAACTTTGGAATAACAGAAAAATATAAATGAAATATTCAATTTAAACCTTAAAATGGTGGTTTAATTTACTTAATAAAAGTTCATCATTTAAATAATATCAATAAAGACAAGAGATTCATCCATCTATTCAACTCAAGCACGTTCTCCACGAATCCGACGAGCCAATTGAATATCTAAAATTTAAGAAATAATTTCAAGTCCAATTTATTAAAAAATAACCCTTTGGCATGATGGTAACACGCTTAGCGTGAATAGCACACAAGTTGGTGTCCTCGAAAAGTCCGACCAAATAAGCCTCAGATGCTTCCTGAATTTAAATAATTAGCTCAAAGTAGAAAGGAAATTGGGGATAATGTAAACGAGGTGATGTTATTACTCCTTTCCACAAACTAAGAATAAGGTTTAAAATAAAATCGATTTAATAGTGTTCTCCTCTCTCCGATTTTTAACCCTAGAACGGGTCTATGAAATGGGACTTTAAACAAATCCTTTAAACAAATCCAATGAATTTATGGAAATCACAGGACCCAAAGAAGCTACAAAGAATATAGCTAGTCTCCTAATTTTTCCCGCATTGCCCCATTTCAGGGGGGGGCTCTAGCCCCCTGGATACGCCCTTACACACTAATAGGAATTAATCAAACCCAGCCGGTCTAAATTACATAAAAGCAAACCTGAAGAGCTCCTATAGCAGCACTCTGAAAACGAAGATCAGTCTTGAAGTCCTGCGCAATCTCTCGAACAAGTCGTTGGAATGGCAGCTTACGAATTAAAAGTTCTGTGCTCTTCTGGTATCGACGAATTTCACGAAGGGCAACGGTCCCTTTAAAATAAGTTTGGAAAAAAATTTTTTGAAAAAAAACCTGGACGATAACGATGAGGTTTCTTAACGCCTCCAGTTGAAGGCGCAGATTTGCGAGCAGCTTTGGTAGCAAGTTGTTTACGTGGAGCTTTTCCTCCAGTCGATTTACGTGCCGTTTGTTTGGTACGAGCCATTTTTAGAAGACAAATAAGGCTTTCAAATAAGAAATATATAAAGACTTGCAGACAACTGAAAACAAATTTTATTTAAGAGAAAATAATTTTAAAATAAAGTCAGGGATTTTAATAAGGAAATAAAAATTCTCGAATAGAAATAATTTTAAAAAAAATTAAAAGCCAAGCGAGTTAATTAAAATTATCGATTTTATGTCGTGGGAAAATCTATTTAAGGAAAGCACATGTAAAACGCAATTAAAAGAGAGCTCTCGCTAAAAACCCCAAAAACAATCCTCGCTAACAACAAAAATCGACATAATGGCGTCAAAACATAAAAGTCTAACCGTCTGTCGTCTCTTTTATTTAATATTGTCAAGCCTCAAAAGCTTTTTCTAGTCAAATTTAAAAAGAGCTTGAAAATAATTTGAAAAATATTTCCAAAATAAAAATTCTCAATGTCTAAAAACAAAACGAAAAAGAAAGAAAACTAATGAATTCTTGAGAAATTAAATAAATTTAATAATTAGCCGAAAACACTTAAAATAACAAATTAGAAATTGTTTCAACCTCGAGAACAAAAAGCGTAAATGGAACAAAGGAAAACAGGAATAGTGCAATAAAATTCGAAATTACACCATTTTGGCATATTCTTGGCTATCCGTTTGAGAACAAAATATCGAATCGTTAAAATACCACTTGGTTAAAAATGGTCAAAATGTCATCACGGCCAAAAAAGTATGTTCGAATTTAAAAAAAAGCTTGGTCTCCCTATGGTTTTCTATCATTTCGGTCCCCAAATTTCGGCCCAAACTTGTTTCCGTGGGCTAATTTTGGTGTCATTCAACTCAGCTTGCTGAGATCTTTCGATTGACAATAAATTGTCCAAATCTAAAATCGCCCGGTAAAGTAGTTGGCTTGAGTCCGCAAAATATGTCCGCAAAAACTAGTCAGGGATAACTCTCAAGTACCCTTTAAGTTTACCCAAAAACTTTTCACAACCTTAAAAGACTTAAAATTTTTTAGACCAAATATATTATGGTTAATATTACTCTTGCAACTAAAAAACAAATTATTGAGGCCTCAGCAACTGGATTACAAAGAAAAGGCAAAATTTTTAAAAAAATTGAAAAAAAGGATAAATCAAAAAAAGTTTCTAGTCGACCTGTTAAATATGAAAAAATTGAAGCTGCTTTGCGTAGTTGGATTAAATCTTTGAAAAAACTGGAAATTCCACTGACTGGCCCACTTTTAAAGGTTATTTTTAGATTTCTTTAAACAAAATTATTGATGTTAAGTAGGGTTGGATTTTTCGAACCGGGCCGACGTTCGAGTCATTTTTTCGGGCCTCATTTTTATTGAAAGGGACCGTTCGAGTCTTTTCCTGGCCACAATTCGGGGCCAGGTTCGATCTTTCGAACCGAACCGAGCCTCCAACTCTAATGTTAAGTAACAAAAAGGTACCTGTAATAACAGTTTCTGTAGGAACTGTTAACAGTTTCTCATTTTTTCTAGGGAGAATTTACAGAATCCAAAAAGCATCCCGTAAATACAACAAAAATTTTTTACAAAGCCGGCGAATTTTTAGACAGTAGTCTAATCTAATTTATTTAAAGGAAAAGGCAAAAGATCTAGCTCAAGAATTCAACATTAAAGACTTCAAAGCCTCTAATGGGTGGTTATGCGGATTTCAAGAACGATATTCTATTTCTTTAAAAAATTTCTATAGAAAACAACCTATGGAATTGGGTGAAGTAGAAGAATTATTAAATGCTGAAATGTGTTGTTCTGAGGACGAATTGGTAATAGTCGGGTTTGTGTGACCCCTTTTTCTCATTTTTTTATTTCGAATCCCGGAGAGGAATTTAAATCTCTCTTCGAGCTCGAATTCTGGTTAGGGACGATTATAAATAAATAAAATTTGAACTCACTCAAAGTCAGCACACTTAATTACCCACAGGTAGACCTCAAAAATCTCGAAAAAGCGTTTCATTTTTTGAGAGATTGAAGCGTGAGAAAAGAGTTTTAGAGAATATTTATATTTTATCCCGTTTCCCTTTTTGACTTTTGGTGGATTTCTAACCTCTTTACATTCCTGAACACTAAACTTTTACATCTAACAAAAAAATTTTTTAGGAAAACGAAAACGGAGAATTGGAAACAAGAGAAGAGATTAGCCAACATTTATCTCCAAAAAAAGAGGCTGAAGAAATGATGACTGAACCTTCATTTATTCAACTTAAAGTCAAATCGCCTCTCATTTCAATTGAACAAGCAATAGACTCATTAAAAGTTCTCTCAAGATATGTTTGGCAAAATCCAAATGAAGAAATGCAAAGAATGTGTGACAGATTTAATGAATTGTTGGCAGACAAAAGTATTAAAAATGAAAAATTTATTTAATTTTTTGAAGGATTTTTGGCTTATTTTTTATTTATTTTTTGGCTCTACTGCAGTTTATGAGTCCAATGAAAAGTTTATGAGTCCTGCCGACCTTTATGAATGCAAGCAGAGTATTGGGGTCTTAGACTGCAGTAGAGCCAATTTTTTTATCCCAGCTCGAACTCTAGTACATTTTATTTCATTAAAAAATATTTTCTTTAAGTATTTTGTCACGTATTTTTGCGTTGTTTTCTTCTCTTTGTCTAAATCAAATTTTTAAAATTTATTGTTCACGCATCTATTTATCGGTTATCTATTACAAATGTCAGACTTTCTTTTGAAAATATTTTTAAAAAATAATTTTGTTAAAAAATTTGAATTTTAGTAATTTTCTTTTAATATTTTTAATTGTATATTTTACTGCTTTTTTTAATTTTTTTTAAATTTTAAATTAAGGCTAACTATTTAACATCAAAAACTAACACACAAAAATGGCTTTGACTTATTGTGGAGACAAGGCAGGAATGGCTTCTCTCGATATGAATCGAATTAAAAGAATAATTGCGGATAATACTGGACAGGACTTTCAGTATCATGAAAGACAAGTCGAAAAACAAGTTGAAGAAAGGGTTAAGAATAAATGTGAAATGCTTTCATATGCAACTAATGAGCAATTAAAAAAGCTGGAAGATGAGGTTTAATTTTGAATTTTAATTTTCTATAAGTTAGGGTTTGTTTTGCTTAGTCTGTGGCAGGGATCCTGCCGTCCCAATTCCCGAAATCGGGAATTTTTTTGCCGGCAGGATCCCTGGTCTGTGGTTCATCATTTTTTCTTTCATAGCTTACTTAAGATCCTCATATCAGTAATCCCGAATTCTTTAGGTCATTGCCTCTTATTTATTTATTTTCCAAAATTGTGTTAGTTTTGGAATCCCTCCAACGATTGACCACTTTTGTATTTTTCTAAGGATCGAGGGACTCAATTTCACCAGCGAAAATTAGTTGTTTTTTACCCTGCTGGAAAATATAAACTCTTTTACTCATTTTTTGGGAAACTTTTTTACTTTCTCCCTTTCCTAAATTATATTTTTGAGTATCCGGGTTAGTGTTTTCAGTTGACAACTATTGTCTTTCTTTATTGTTTTTTTTTCTCAAAGGCTGACAGTGTAGCTATAAAAATGGAAGAACATCGCTCCATAAATAGATTTTGGGTTCATATAGATATGGATGCTTTTTATGCTTCTGTGGAATGTCGCGACAAACCAGAATTAAGGACTGTTCCAATGGCTGTGGGTGGTGATTCTATGTTGGTATGTGAATTTTTTTAATTAGGGTGATGTTAGCTATAGAAAAAAAGGTTTGATTGAGGATTGAGGCTTGGAATCTTATTAAGGGAAGGGGTCTGTTTTTTTTTTGTTAAAAAAGAAGCTTATAAAGTAGAGGAGACTTCCTTTTGTGGGGGAAATTCTTTTTGATAATTTTTTAAAAATCTTTAAAAATTTCTAATTTTTTCAAAAAACAGGCAACTTCAAACTATTTGGCACGCAAATTCGGTGTAAGATCAGCAATGCCAGGATTTATTGCCAAAAAATTATGTCCAGACCTTGTAATTGTTCCTTGCGATATGCACAAATACATGCGGGAAAGTAATATTGTAAGAAGTATATTTCAATATTATGACCCGAATATGTTTATGGGAGGCTTGGATGAGGCCTATTTGGATTTGACTGATTTTGTTGGACAAAGAATACTTCCAGGTTTTTAATTTTTTTTTCGAATTTTTAATTAGTTGTCTGAATTTTTAGCTGGATCTCTAATTTTTATACACCCAGTATTTGATATACCCTAATTCAAGACGTTTTTAAGCTTAGTTGCCCACTGGTTGCTTAAGCGGCACTCTATTTAAGGCCCCCTCATTATAACTCACTTTTATTCTTCAAAAAAATTATTCGAGTAAATTTCGGCAAAATAATCAACAAAATTTAGCGGCTAGTCTGCAACTTATACATATCTTTTACAGAAAATTCTATTAATTTGTGCAAAATTTTTTAAATTTAATTTTTTAGTAAAATGCAAAAGAATTCGTTATACTGGTGATTGTATTTGCAGACTTCCTTTAATTCCTTCTAATCAAAATATTTCTGAAGATGCTGAACGTGTTGTAATAATTTGTAATCGTTGCAACAAGGAAAGAATTGCAATAATTGATTATGTTGTTTTTGGTACTGGATTGGATGATATAGTTAATCAAATACGTTTTGAAGTTGAACAATTGACTGGATTAACTTGTAGTGCTGGTAATTTTTTTTGAAGAATTGATTTTTTGGGTTAAATGTTATGTTGGCTGACTTCGTTTTTGGGGTCTTGATTTTTAGGGCCTTATCCTCTAGTTTTTTGATCTTGTGGGTCGATCCACTTTCACCCATATGTATTTAAATTCCTTCTTTAGTCATTGAAAAAACTGATTATTTTTTAAGAGATAAAATGAATTTTTCTGTTAGATCTCCGTCCTCAATTAATTTTACATATTTAATTCTCTTGGTCAACTGGGGGTTTTCTAATTTTTTATATCAATTATTAATGGATAAAATGAGTATTTTGGCTAAATATTTTTTTCGATACAATTTTTATTATCTGCCATTTCCATCCCTCAAAGGTTATTTAACCTTAAATAATTGAGAGCAGGGCTGACGGGTTTTTTTCAAAAATTTTCTGTTCAGTGTCGGAATTCGGGTTTCTGTTAACAGAAAATTTATTTTTATTTTTTTGTTCAAACTTTATAAACATTTTTTAATTATTTTTAATTTTTTAAAGGAATAGCAACAAACAAAATGCTTGCCAAAATCTGTACCGATTTAAATAAACCAAATGGCCAATTTTATTTGGAAACTGATCGTTACAAAATTGTTGATTTTATGAATTCTTTAAAAATTCGAAAAGTTCCAGGAATTGGGCCAAAATGTGAGGCTATTTTGAAATCTATTGGAGTGGAAAAATGTTCAGATTTATTTGAAAAAAGAGCAAAAATACGTTATATATTTACTAATTTACATTCTGAATGGCTTTTGAAAGTTTCTTTGGGTTTGGATGCTTGGGAAATTGATAAAGGTTTGAAAGTTTTTTTATTTTGATTTTAAGAGAAATCCAAAGTTTGTATTTTTAGGGGGAGATATCATATTTATTTACATGTTTTCATCAAATTGAGCGATTTTCCTCCATTTTAGAGACGCAAACGAGAATAGAGATTTTAGGAATTTCTAACACATTTTTTATATTTCTCGTTTATCTGAATGCAAATGATATATGTAAATGTTGGGAATTGGTGTATTGTGGACTTGAATAGCTAGGAGTGAAGGATACTTTCCCTTATTTAGAAAAATTCGGAGATGTATTCTTTTAGAATTTTCAAGCCAAAAATTTTTTAATTATTTAATTTTAGGAAGTAACCAGAAAAGTGCGGGTATTGGAAGAACTTTTGCTCCAAAACAAAATTTTACTGAACTCTGTCAAATCCTTTACAAACTTTGTCGTAAACTTATAAAATCATTGCCTTCTTCTAGAATTGTTGGTGGACGTTCAGCTACATTATCTGTAAGAAAACTTTCTCTAATTTTTTATTCATAAATTCTTACAACAAATTCTATTTTATGATAGGCTTTGATTTGTTTGATTTTTTTAGAAATCCTTTTACATCTAAATTGGATCGTTCGCCTATTTTTTGATTTTGGGGAAGGAAGTGGGTTAGGGAAGTCTGCAACTATATTACAAAATTTGTCCATATACTGAGCTACCGGAGAGCTGCTTTCGTCTTCTTTTAATGAATTTTAAATCCCCGCCTTTTAAGCGTTTTAACTGTTAGTCAGTAAGGTTGGCGGATCCGAATTCGAAAAAGGCAGGATATCCGGAAATTTTCGGTTCGGATACCGGATCCGGATATCCGAAGATTTCCAACTATCCGCCAACCTTACTAGTCAGCTCATCCCTTAATTTTTCTTCATTAATTAGCTTCAAAAATTTATTTAAGATAAAATTTGCAACATTTGATTACATTACAAGATGTAAATCTGTTGATTTTGTTATTCAAAATGTTGAAATGCTTTACCCAATAGTTGAGGGTCTTTTAAAAAAAGAATTGGTTGGGAGAAATGATGCGGTAATTAAAAAAAAATAAATTTTTTTAATTTAAAAAATTTCCAAAAGATTCGTTTATTGGGTGTTCGCCTTTCTGATCTTGTTTTTGATGGATTTAATTTTGATGAAGAAAATGGAGAAGAGGAAGAAGAGTTACAACAAGGGGTGTCAAATTATTTACCTAATTAAATTTTAGGGACTGGATTTTTTTGGTTAAATGAGAGGGAAATTATTTTAATTTCGGGGGAAAATTCCAGACAAACTAATTTTCTGTTAAATCCGGTCCCAATTTTTATCAGGCTTTGCCAGTTGTTTTTTTCGAATTTTTGAAACTTTAAACATTTTAAATTTTGATTTCGATAAATTATTTATACTTGGATTTTTTATTATTTTTTTAAAATAATGAAGATAGTATAAGAATCTTTTTATTTTTTCAAATCTCTGATAAAGCCTGATATTAAAGTTGTTATTGTGAGTGTTCATTGCCCAATCAACTGATTTGTCCGATAGATTTTTTATTTAGAGGGATTAGTCGATAAGAGGTGTGTTAAGGAAGGGAACAGGATAAGTTAAGGCTAAGATTTAAGATTTATAAAAGCAGAGTCTCGCCTAGGGGGACGGGGAAAAATTTTCTTTCGTCACATGAGGGGGAGGGGTACGAGGAAAAAATTTTTACTGGGAAATTTCGGCGAATCAAAAAAATTTGTTTAATTTTTTCCAAAATTTCAATTTTTTGCGCCCAGGCGAAAATTTTGAAAATTTGGAGCTTTAGATACAGCTTTAATGTTGAATAAAGCCCTTACAATAAATAATTGTTAGAAGGTCTCAGATTCATTCCCTGTCTAAGCTTTTTATTTAACTCAACCATAATTTCTGTGAGATTAGAAAAATATTTAATACTTAATAGTTATAACTTGAAATTCAATTTAAGAAGGCAATATTAAAAGAAAACAACAACAATTAACAACAACAACAATTTTACAACAAAATTTACATAAATTTATTAAACCAATTAAATTACATAGTAATTTACCCATTTTGGATGAAGTAGGTAATGAAAAAATTGAAACAACAAGTAATGAATCTGAAGAAGATGAATTAAATGATGATAGTATTGTTGTTATTTCTTCAAGTGGAGATGGAGCTAATGGTGAGGAGAGGGGGTATTGGGGAATTATAAATATATTTTCTGGGCATCTTTGTTGGAATTTATAGTTGCCCGGGATATAGGGGAATGTTTGGTGTTGGTGTCTTGTCCAAACATCCCCACTTCTATCCCTATATTTCCCAATTGTTTTATCTTGTCGAAATTTCTATTCCGAATTCACTGTAAAAATAATTTATAGTTTCAGCGAACTTATTTTTGGGTTAAGTTTCTTGTAGAAATGCAGTCTCTAAAATCAAATCCCTTTTAACTAGTTTCTACCCCAATACCTTGAAAAAAGATTTTTTTCTACAAAAATATTTTTTTCTAAAGAAATTGTTTTTAATTTATTTTTTCCCCAGTTTCTGTACAAGTCGACGCAATTTTGGATAATTCTCCATTTGACGAACTACTCGAAGATGACGAAGATATAATTATTCTTTACGTCCAAAATAATTCCCAGAACAACAAAAATAACAAAAGAAGAGAAGAAAAACAATTAAAAACAACAAAACATTCGAGAAAATCAAAAAACAATTCTTTAACAAAAATTAGAAATTTACATGTTTATTTCCCTACCATTAGACAACAACAAACTAGTAGACACAAAAATTAATAAATAATTGAATGTTGGACAGTAAAGCCTTACTATAAGATATTCCCTTGGAGATGAAAAAATTAATCTTATAATGAGGGGGTAATTTAAATAGAGGAGGTTAGTTCTTGGTAGTGTTCGACACGGCTCGGCACTTTTCGTTAAAAATCCATTTTTTTCAAATTCCGTGGCTAACAAAATTAAAAAAAGGTGTATCTATTATTCAGTGTATCTTATAGCGAGGTTTAACCTTACTAATCTTTTCCCAATTATTATTTCTAAATAAATTTGTAGATTTTATTTTAAAAATTAGTATTGTGTGCAAAAAGACTTTAAAAAGCCAAAATAAATAGTAATTGGAAAACCTCGATTTTCACATACACCCCTGGGGAAATTGTAAATTTTGTAGTTATTCCTTAAGCAGCTTCCCCCACCCATTGGTCAGCCATATTTTTAAAAATTGTACCTCTAAAAGTTAAAATTTGGGTGTGTAAAATCGAGGTTTTTGTTCTATATTTAATTTAAAATTCGTCATGTTTTCTACTCTTAACTTTCTTTCCATAAACCCCATTAATTAAATTAAATTCTTGGTGTGTTTCTGTTAATTTATGCCAAAAATGTAATCTTTCCCATTCAGTATTATAAACATTTTCTTTAATAAAAGGATTAATTCCGTTAATAAATAAATGCCGAGAAGGGTCATTTTTTGTTGCTTTATTCCAATTAATTGTTGTATTTTTTGAATTCTTTATTTTTGGATTTCTTTAAAAAATAAAAATTACCTAAATTATTTTTGGGGTATTGAGTGTTTATTTATTAGCTTATTCCTGGGGGTATTTATTTGTTAGTGTATTCCCTGGATGAGCATTAGTGTTTCACCGGACCGGAATTTCCAGTGAAACTAATGAGTATGTTTATTTTCCTTAGGTTATTAAAGGGTCCGTACAATTTTATGATGAATTGTCATGTCTAATCGAGTTGTGTCGGATTACCGAAATCAACATGCTATGGCATTTTATTTTTGGTTATAATTTAGCGGTAACCGACTGCTCCCCAGGGCGCTTAGAGGCATGCGCTTTGGAGGAAGGGAAGAAAGGGGCAAAACTAGTTTGGATTGACATTTGCAGAAACTTTCTCTAACAGATTACCAAAATTCTATCCTTGCGACAGTTAGTGTACTTATCTTTGGATACCATTCTTATATACTCCCGCTCTCTCTGATCCTCAAATTTCGATAGGCTACAATTTTGTCCGGGAATGACATCTTCCCATTTAATTAAAAAAGACAAACCCTTTAATAACAAAATTAACAATAATTTCCCTCAATAAATTAGCTACGTCTTTTGCCTCTCCACTTTTAGGTGCAAACTTTCCGATTCCAAAAATTAAATCATGGTCTAACATATGAAATGCTTCTTTAAATGGGTAAATTAATTACTACTATAATATTTTTTAAAATTAATTTACAACAGTTCCCCCATTGAGTTTATTTTAGAAGGAGTCTTTTAGCGAGAGATTTATTTTAAAAGAAGAGATGATGGATAAATTTTGATATTTTATTTTGGTATTTATTTAGAAAAGGTGACTTCGACTTAAAATAAAAATAATTTTTCCTCTCTATTCCTACGTCATCTCATTACCAGATACCCACCCAAACTTAAGTATAATACACCTCTTATCGCCCCTAATTTACCTCTAACTTCAACCCATTCTGGAAAAAGCGAAGATTCTTTCCAAGCAAATTCATAAAAATAAATTGGCCAATTAAATTCAATTTTAAGTCTTAATTCCCAAAATGCTGGGGCTATATAATGCAAATCACTTAATAACTGTTAAAATAAATTTAAAATTAAATCCTACCCAAAATATCACCACTATCGCTTAGCAGTGATCTTTAGGGTCTAATTAAAAATTAAATTCCTTCTTACCATACTGTATCTTTCCAAAAAGAAATTATTGTCTTTAATTCTATTATTAATTTTATATTCTTTTGTATAAAATGAGATAATCTTTTCTTGAACAATTTTTGCAATTTCCTCTCCAAAATATTTATTTTTGGCAACCATTTCCCTAACAATATGGTTAAAATCGTTTTGTCCAAAATGCTTAATTCTTTCAAGGGGGACAGAAAATTGGGTTACACTGCTATTTTTTGATTGAATTAATGCTTAAAAATTGGAAAAAAAATAAATATAATTTTAAACGAAATTGGAACTCATTATAAGATTGTTGTTGAGAGTAGCTGGGAAATTTTGGGAAATTCCCGGATATCCTGTACTCGATATCTGAACAGAAAATTTTGGATGTCCAGATTTTTATCAGATCCGGATATCTAAATTCGCCAATTTTTCCCTTGAGGGTTCTTGAGTAAGTGCTATTTAATGTGATCTCTTTCGCTAGTGTTACTTCTGTGTTATTTAATCAGTTAGCTTTGATAATCATAATTATAGTCTTGCTCTTCGATTTCACCAACCCAGATATTGTATCATCTTTATTGGTGTATTTTTGTGGTGAAACCTAGTCTATTAAATATTTTTCTCTTATTCCTCGGATACTACCACTAAAGTTAGCGGATAGATGGAAATCTTCGGATATCCGGATCCGAACCGAAATTTTCCGGATCCGCCTACTTTAACCACCACAGCAAAAACTGTATTGAAAAATTTTTTCCTATAATAAGGTACTTATATTGAATTTGGTGGTATCTTATAATGAGTTCCGATTTTTAAACACAACTATAAGCCAAAGAATCCATTGTACAATGCCCCATTATTGTTGGCTTTGGAGATGATTCTTCAATTAAACTAATTAGGTCTTTTGGGAAAAAGTCGTTATCCGATGTTCTTGTTCCAAATTTTGCAAAATTTACATCAGCTCTGGACGGGCCCTGTAAATTAAACAAAATATTTTTAAAAAATTAAACTAAAGGGAGCAACAGTGTTGTGGTGGAATTCTGATAGATTTGTGAATACTTGAACACCCCAGCTTAAAATTACCACCAACTTATCCTTGGCAAACGACTACTAAGCAAGTTAATGCATATAGGCTTTAATATAGTACATAATAGACAAAGAAAGATCATTTGTTCTTCATTCAGTTGAGGGTTACCAACCGGAAAGTCTCAATTAGAGATCAGCACGGGAGGGATCCCGGGCGGGATTTTACGGAATCCCGGGTTTTTAGCGATGAACGGGATTACCGGGACTCCGAGATTTCCGGGTTTAATCCCGCGGTTAACTTCGATTAACTCCCGTTCGAACTTTTCAATCTCATTCCCATTACGGGATGTGATCTCTAGTCTCGATCGTTTTTTATGAATTCACTTTTGGAATTCACTTATGCCTGCAATATCCGCTATTCCAAATACAAAACCACAAGAAAGCTCTGGGGTACTTGACCAAAAAATTAAATAAAAACAAACAATTATCTTCATAGCTTCATGTATTTCCTCAACACTTTTAGAACGTAAACATTCTTTTAACTTTAAAGATTTTGATTTATTCCATTCCTCCTCCTCTTCTAAACAATTTAATTCTTTCCCCAACACTTTTGTTTCATTAAAAACAAAAGTTCCACTCTTTGTTTGTCTAAAAGGCGAGCCACTAAATTGAATTGCTTGTTTAAATAAATTTCTCGAATGAGGGGAAATTGTTAAAGCCGAAACAGCAACAGCACCAGCAGAATAACCGAACAAAGTTATTTTTTTTATATCCCCTCCAAATTTGGGTATTTCTTTATTTATCCATTCTAAGGAGGACAATAAATCCCAAAGACCTAAATTGCCTTAAAAAATTTTTTTTCAAGATTTTTTATTAATTTAAATATGCCTGGAATTATTTCATCTCCTGTTGAAGCAAAACCTTTTTAATTAAAAGAAAAATATTAATTTCCTAGTTCAATCAATCAATCAATCAAATTTATACGCACCAGCGCGACGATTTCAGACAATAATAATGTGATAAAATAAATAAAATAATAAAATGAGCGTAAACAAACGATTTCCTTAATATAATTTAAAAATTGTAAAAATGTCTTTTAAGGTGATTTGGAAGTGAGTCAATAAATTGGGATATATCAAAAGTGACTAGGAGTCGACCAAAATGTTCGGGGGTTGAATTGCGCATATGTTGAGGAATAAATTTATATAACCGAGCAGTCCTAACGAAAAAGGAGTGGAATCTGGCTTTTGTATTACATGATATAGAAATAATGTTTTGGAACCCCCTGGTATTGGCTTTACTGATAAAATATGAGTTATTGTTTTTGATTGTTATAGTCCCACAAACATGTTGGTGAAATAAATTGAGATCGGCTTTGATACGTCTATGAAATAGGGATTCTTGTTTAAAGTAATAAAGTAGATCATGATATTCAGGTAATTCGGTTTTAGGATTAATACGTCTAAAAACCCAGCGGAGAAAATCCTTTTGGACTTTTTCAATTGATTTAATATCTTTGTCAAGATGTGGATTAAAGACAGGCGAGGAAAATTCTAAGATAGGACGGACATAAATATTGAATAGATTTGTAAGGATTTTTGGATTCCTACATTTAATAGATTTGAAAATGGAATATGAGCATCTGATTGCTTTACGAGTGATTATATTGATATGTTTATCCCATTTGAGATCGTGAGAGAAATGTATGCCCAGGTCCCGGACTGAATCCTCAGAAGAGATCTGATGGATAACAATGTCATTGATAAAATAGTTAATGGGTTAGAATTTCCTAAATATAAAACTGAACATTTTTCTATGGCAATTTTAAGGCCATTAAGATGGCAATACTCTGAGAATTTATTTACAAAAATTTGGAGAGGAGACTCGTTAACTCTATTTTTAAAAATATTATAAGCTTTGAGATCGTCAGCAAAAAGTTTTAGAGTTATTCCTGGTGTGGCGCAATACGTTGGAAGATCAGATATAAAAGTAATGAATAGTAGCGGCCCTAGTATGGATCCTTGAGGTACACCGCTGGTGCAGTGTTTTTCCTCGGAATAGTGATTAGATAGTAATTGGGGTGAAAAGGGAGGGAGGGATATGGAGAGGACGGGCAGGAAGGACGGAAGGGACAGGCAGGAGGAGAAGGAAAGGAGGGACGAGCAGGAAGTCTAGCCCCATTCCGAGATGTTTCGAAATTTCGATTTCCGAATATTTTTTTGTTTCGAAACAGCTCTAGTCCCCCCAGTATTATCATTTAAACAATTAAAGGTCTACTTACTCAAAAGTGAAACCAAACAACTCCTCTTAACTCCTAAACTTATCGCTAATGTGGATCAAGTCAATATCTTGTCAAAAATCTGTCATGGAGACTTTCCCCTATCTCATATGTATCGCGTTCAATCATCAAAACGGTCTCTAACAATAACTAACCTAAGGGGGGTTTAGAACTGTCTTTTGATTCCAACAGTATTTTGTTTGGAATTGTCCACAAAATCGAAGAATCCAAATACGATTATTTTATTTGTTTCCCATATCCCTTTAATATGTATATTTAATTTTACCTAAAACTCCCAACCGATATTGAACAGTCACAACAACAATATTTTGACTAGCAAAATATTCTCCCAACAATTTATAATTATAATTTCTTGCTGTTCCTACTTCGAAAGCCCCACCATGAATTATTAATAAAACTGGATAAAGTTGATCTTTCTGACAAAAAATTTTTAATTAAAAATTAATTGAATTACAGTAAATCCACACTATAAAAACCCTCTGGGAACGAGAATTTATATCTTATAACGAGGATAACTTAAATAGAAGGTATAACTTAAACAAAATTTAAGTGTATATTCAGTAAGAGATATGTAAATGTTTGGCCTGGACGGTCATAGATCCTTCAACATCATGACAGTTATTGCTAGATGTTCAAGAGAAGATGCAAGCAGCACCATGCAACTCTCTATTGACTGAGTTATCAAGACGCTGCTTTCACCTTCTCTATTAATAGATCCTAAATGCCCGTTTATTCTGTGCTTTTTTATTCACAATTCTAATAGTATAAATAAGGGATCCCGACCCAAAAAACGTCGGGAATTCCCAATTTTCAGGAATAGGGAATCGGGGAGGCAGGATCCCTGGTATAGATGTACATATTTTCGAATGAGCTTCGACTGTAATTCAAAAATTAAAAAAATTCTTTACATTATCTTCCTCTCTATTTGGAGATATAATATTTAAATACAAGCAATCTTCATCAAAAGGAACATTTAAATTTAAAATTTCATCACCAATTGGAAGGGCGTGTGGAACACATGCTGGAGAATATTCTTTTGCTAGTTTAATTCCTTCCCATTTTGAAGGGGGTTTTGGTTTCTGAAGAAAAAAGAATTTTTAAAAATATTTTAAAAATTATTTGTGGATATAAAACACTATTTTTAGTGCCGTAGGCAAAATTTTTTTTGTTAATTTTTGTTTTAATTAAAACAATCACAAATGCTTTTTAACAGTTTTATGTAGAGGGGAATTAATAATTGTTAGTAGAGAGCAGACATGGTCACGGATACTGATTTTGGTATCCGTATCCGGATATTTACGGCGGATACAGACGGATATCCGCAGGCATTTTGTATTATCTGTATCCATATCCTTATCCATAGCCATGTCTGGTAGAGAGTAGTTTATTGGAGTAGAACCAAAAATTAGTTTTAATTTTTTTAAATTCCGGTATTCAATTAACAGAGGTTGAGGAGCTACACTAAACTCGGCGATTTTAGTCATGCTTAAACGGAGAGGCAATTACCGTAAATCTTCTAATTTAAGTACATGTGCTTCAAATTTTTTGATTCTCTCATAAGATGTACTTCTATTAGAGACCGTGCTTCTATTAGAAAATTTACGGTATGTAAGGCAGTAGAAATGTACTAGTCTGTTGCCTTGTGATCAACTCTCCATTAGGGTTGTCGATTCTGGACCGAACCGAACCGAAGAACCGATGATTTTTCGGTTCCGCATATCCGAAAATTTTTCCAAAAACCGATATCCCTACTCTCCATTTAGGATGTCATAAAATCTGTGTCTATTTTGAACATTCTAATTTTACCCACGCCAGATTATATGTATGTGTATGTTGGTTAGTCTAATCAAATCTCCAAAAAATTATACTAAAAATTACTTCAAATCTTAAAATTCCAATAGGTTTCTCAGCAAAAGGAATGCCTAGAAAAACATTCACAGACTTTCCATTTTCAAGTTTATAAATAAATCCTTCCAAATTTCCATAACTTGTTTGGATAATTATAGAATCGTTTAATTTAAAATTTAATAAAATAATTAAGAGGAGAAATATTTTTTTGAACATTCTATGAAAAACCTATAAATAAAATTTTATTAGGTCGAAATTAGGGTTCGGACTAACGAGCGAAGGTATTTCTCGGAATTTTGGGTATCTTTAGGTATTATGGATGATTTTTAATCTTCGGTAATACGATACGGAATAAAGTAAGGTAAAGTTTTGAAATTGATAGGTATTTATCGGTATCTGTATTTCACTAGTCAGAATCAGAGATGGGTCGGAACAGTCCGAGGTGTCGGAAGTCGGAATTCCGACTTCCGACACCTCTGGTCAGAATCAAATGGAATCTCCCTATGAAGACGCCCTCTCCCACGCAACATCACTTTTTATGTCGTAAAATTGAGCTCGAGTTTAGTACATAAGTATGCAATTTGAAGAGCGGCATTATTAAATCGCAAAAACTAGGCTATATTTATGTAAATATTCTTAAAAATTTTTAAATAAAATAGATAAATATTAAATTTGAAAACAATTTAATAATAAAAATAAAGCTATTCAAACAAAAATTAAAATTGATTTTTATTGCAAAATAATCGTTTTATTTTTACAGGAAAAGATAAGAGAAATAAATAAAAATAAATTATTGAAATAAATATGTATTTATTAAATAATTTTTCAAAAATTAATTTTTAAAGGTCATTATTCCAACATCTCAGGGCAAAATTATATATGGTAAAATTATATAGATTTCCAACCCCCTTGGGAAATGAATATTTCAACTCTACCGTGGGATGGGGTACATATCAAAGATATAGCTGGACCTGGACCAAGGCCTAGAGTTTTCCTGTACCCAGAGTCCCGGCATTTTTTGACTTTCCTGGGTTTTTCCTGGATTACAGGCCCAGAATCCAGTCCAGGTCAATAAATCAAACACCGTTTAGAGATAGGTCGTCCAGGGGTTTCAAAATTCTCCATCTCTACTACATATCAGGAATCTAACCGACCCGATTCCCAAAAATGGGAATTGATTTTTATATGCCGGCTACATATATATTTGTTTAAATTTTTTAAATTAACAAAAATTTTTAATAAAACAAATAAATTAATTTTTTTTCAAGAATTAAATTCATCTTCTAAATATGAACCAATAGAAGATGCTCCTTCCATGATTAATTTTAATTCGTCTTTGTCAATAACATTATATCTTAAAAGAATATTTATTAAAATTTTCGTTTTATTAAAGTTAATTTAAAAATTAAACCCACTTATCAACAAGAAAATAAAAATAGCTTCGAGGGACTAATAAAACATAGTTTTCGCGTCCTGAAACAATTTCTTTTTGCTCTTTGTTTGAAAATGTTTGAAGTATATAATAGAGATATGAATATAATCCAAGAATAAATAATTGGGAAGTAATTTGTTGGATGTTTTCTTTAAAAAAGAATTTTTAAAGCATTGAGTAAAGCAGCTGGGCTATAACCATTTCTATAGCTATTTCTATGCCACTAAAAACGGTTTAGCGGCTGGGAGCGAACCAGCATCTTCAGTAGACCGGACTGATATGTCACTCATTACACCACGCCGCCTACTGCATAGCCTTAGAAATTAAATAGCTATATGCTTTACAATAGCTAGTTCGAGCTTGGTATCTAAAACCCCCTGTCGAAAACTAAAACTTAAAGGAAGAAAATACTAAGCGGGGGTTTAAGAATCCATTAAAGGAGAGGAGCCATGGTAGCTAAATTGATAGAGCTGGAACCCAATCTCTCCCCTTTCATCTTAGTTTTTAAAAAATATAAAAAATCATTATTTATTTACTTTTCAATTTAAATTCATTTTCCACCAAAATATTTTTTATTTCATTAATATTATTTAACATTTTTAGAGAAACATTTTCCTTTTTCAATTTTTCGACAAAAGCTAATCTTTTTTCTTTATTCATTAAATATTTTGTTTTTTCAAAAAGTAGATTAGGGTTTTCTATAGTTTTATCATCTAAATCCATAAATTCTATCAAATTATCAAAGAAAACTTTTGCCTCCTTCTTGCTGAATGCTAAAAATAATTCTGGAATTTTGTTATAAAATAATTTGGGGTTATTTTTTATTTAAATTAAAAAAATAAAAACAAACGTCTTTCACTATTTGAACTGTTTCCATTTATTTTAGCCTTTGGTATTAATTTATTTTTAGAAGAATTTACAGAAATTTTTGAAAATAAATTATTAACTTAAAAATAATTAATTAAAGGTTGTTTCGGATCAGGGCTGATCGAAATTTCGTTTCGTTTCGTTTCGCTCTTTCGTGCCCTTTTTTCCATTTCGTTTCGTTTCGGAACGAAACAGAAAAAAATTTATTTCGTTTCGTTTCGAAACGAAATAGCCAAAATTCCGGACGAAACGAAACAAAAAAAAGTGAGAAAATGCACCCCTAATGACGGGAATTTATGGAAATAATCATCAATTTTTTAGCGATTTCTGTCTTATGAGCAGCCTATAATTAAAAAATTTTCGCCTGCGGCGCTGAAAATGGAAGAAATTTGGCTTCTTGAGCTCCAACATTCAAAAAATTTTCGCCTGCAGCGCTAAAAAGGAAGAAAGCCTTTACGGGTTTTGCTAGAGCAGACCAGCCTTCCACCGTCCAACCTACCATAGCCCTAAATCTTTATATTTGTGATCTAAGAATATTAAAAATTTTTGAAACCCAAATTTAAATATACTGGAGTTGTACTCCAAATTGGATTAAGGCGGATATATGTCAATTTAAAGGGATTAATTGGTAAATTGTAGAGAGACAAGTATGTTGCATAATTGGATTTTGGGGGATATCGAGAGAGGCAAATTTGAAGAGATTAAAGAGATATATTCGGAATTGGGTGATTAAAAGCGATATCAAGGAATTTGGGGATTAAGAGGGATATATTGGTATTGAGATGTTACCTCCAATAAAGCCTCCAATTTTCTTCCATTTTCTGTGCATGAGACTAAAATTTTAAGAATTTTGTG